GGCTGCACTGGGGGAGGAATTTTGGTTGGACTGGTCTGACTTTGTTTCTGGGCCTCAGCTTCAAACTTCATTCTCACAGCACTGACTTTTGATGTGGATTTTTCATGAGCAGGGGAAGAAGGTTCAGACTCACTAGTTTTAATTTGCTGTTTAATTTTGTCCTCACTTGTACGAGACACCATGCTTTTATGTGGACTGCTAGGTAAACTAGTACTTTTCTGTTCTGTTGAAGTAGAACTGACAAAAATCTTGCCAATCGACGGCTCCCTGAGTTTACTTTTACTGAGTACCTCATCTCCTGCTTTAGGTTTCTGCTGTGTTTTCTCAGGGCTACTGCAGGCTGAGTTAGGCCAAGATCTCGGTTCCTTTAGCTCTCGTCTCACTGGCTTTTTCTCAGGGGACTGCAGCTCGACATTGAGCTTCTCTGTTTTGTCACGGAAAAACTGTGATACCTCACTTAGCTTCTCTTCAGCTTCCTTTACAGTTTGGTCCACCCTATCCTCATAAAGGAGCTTATCCCTGCTCCTGTCGTGTTTATCCTCAGTAAATCGCATCCAAACTGCATGTTTGGGGCTGCCCTGTTCTGTGGAATAATGGAGCACTGTCACCTTATCGAACTGAGATGGATCATCCCTGTGCGAGAATTTCCCAGACTCTCTTTTGGGGATTCCTTGCTGCTGACTGAAGCTCTCGCTACCACGGCTACCACTCTCCTCAGAAACCAGGTGACGGTTTCTGTCAGGCCCAAGTGCTGAATCCTCTGTGTCAGAGTGAGACAGCGATGATGCTTCAAGTTTTTCTGAGAGAAGCATTTTCTCAGCAAACCTATATGACTCGCCTCTGATTTCTGATAGCTCATCATCACAGTATTCTATGGAGTGCTGGCTCAATAGTTTCAGGGCTTTATATGAATCATCTGCCATCAGCTGAGCAGAGCTTGGGCGACTATCCTCCTCCTGAGATACTGGGGTGTTAACACGAGATGTTTCCAGGAAGGAAGGCAGGGATTCCTCTGCAGTGAGCTCCTCTTCTTCCTGTTGGGCCTCATCATAATCAGTGATTTCCCTAATCCATGGTCCCCTTTGTAGACATAAAGCTCAGGGTGTTTCTTGGTTTCTCTGATAAAAACCTCAGTTGGCTCTGCTGTGCTGTGGCCCTTTTCGATATGAACCTCAATAATCCTTTCAACTTTGGGCTTGGATTTAATGTCTCGGTCTAGAAATCTAGGAGTCAGCTCATCACCTTTGACTGAGTCCTTGCTAGCTTTGTGTTCAAAAAGGCCTGCCAGTTCTTTAGAGGGATCCCTACCTGACTGGAAAGCTTTCATGATATCTCTAACTGACATACCTTCCTCTATCATTTCTGCCCCATCAGTCAGCTGGGGCTTGTGATAGACCATTCTAGTAGTAGTAGTAATATGAGTTTCCTCTTTAAGACACATACTTTTGCTCATCATGGAGTCGTCTTCAGGCATCATTGTCTGTAAGGCTTTTATGGAACTTGTTGAAGCTACATCTGGCTCTATTGATGGAAAAGCAGATGCACCCTCTTCCATGAGCAAAGGCTCACAAAGATCATCAGGCTGGTCATAGCTCCTAATGTGGACTTCTGTTCTGCTTTCACTAACGCAGGGAGGGATGGGCGAATCTGTGAATAAAGGCTTAGGTCCTGTACTCTCTGCACTCTGAGGAGCAGAGGGTGTCTTTTCACTACGGGTCTCAAACCCACTGTCTGACAGTGGACTCTTATCCTGTTCATGAGACAGGTCCTCGGGAGATTCCAAAATAGTGTCTGGCCCCTGATATGCCTCAGCAAGTTTACTTAAGTCCTTCTCTGAGGGAGACCTCAGCATGCCTGAGACTGGTGGAGGCATTTTGAGTTTGTGCTCTTGTATTGACATTGATGGTTTTAGAACACGTTTCTGTTTCTCTTCCCCTTCCCCTTTCCTCTTTGTCTCCTCCTCGTACCTACATTTCAATTCTGTCATTTTGGAGAGAGAGCTCGCGCCGATGTCATTTGTTAAGAAATCTACAACTTTGGCCAACTCTAAGTCTTTGCTTGACATTGACTGATGTCTGAGAAGAAGTTTGCCTTCATCAAAAGAAGAGAAATAGTCTGAAATGGCACTTCTTTGTGCCTCCTCAATCTCATCTCTGGAAAATTCCTCCCATTCATCCTCTGAAGCTCTCTCTTTACCTGCAATTACCTTACCGTCACTCATGATATCCTTCTGTAATATCTCGCTGACTTTCACTAAATCTTCTTTCACTTTCTCCACTAGACTAAATGGCTCCTCGTCTTCTAACTTGGTCTCTTTAGGAGTGCCAATATGTGATGTTTGTACAGTTTTAGCTGCTGTCTGTGGGTCTGTCTGAAGGATAGCTGTCATTCTGATCAGATCTTCTTTCATGTCTGCTACATCTTTTAATATCTCTTGGTTGGAAGTTGCAGTTGTGTGGATGATGGGCGGCGTGATAAATGGCGGGGATTTCATTTGGGAATTTATTTTTGATGCTGTGACACAAGAGGCTAAAGAGGAAGAGGGCGAGGAGGGACGGGCACGATCAGGCAGTGCCATTTTGAGAGACCCTGGCCCTGGTTTTTGAGGGGTATCTGGAATGATGTTAACTAGTGAATACACAGGTACAGTCACTGTATTAGAGACGACTGCCGGGCTGGACGTGGCAGGTACAGATCTCAGAGAACCATAGCCAGAGCTTGCTGTTGGAGACCTTCGCGAGGAGGACCTTGATTTAAGAGTACCATATCCTGACACAGAATATGAGTCTATAGCTTCATTTATAGCTGCACTGACACTGGATGTTGCTGCCTGTGTCGTGGCCTGTATCCTCTCTTGGAGGCTGCTGCTTCTCTCTGAAAGATGGCGAGAAGAAGGGGAAGAGGGCGTGGAGGAGGAGGATGGATATTTAACAGGCGAGAGCGATCCATTCATCATGGACACTTCTGAGGAAGCAATGGTTGTCTGCCCGCTGGAGGAGAGAGATGAGAGGGTTGACCTCCCACCTCTGGATGAGAGTGTTGAATCCACAGAGGTTTTCAAAGGGGACAAGCTGGAGATGCTTTTAACCGGAGAAAGTTTAGGTACCCCTGCATCTGTTCCTACTGTGGACCCCAGGGCAGTTTTAAATGGCAGATTAGAACTGTACATGTCGTAAGGTTTCTTTGGCGATGTTGGAGCAGTGAATGGAACTGGTACAGAACCATTTGGTATTGAGTGAAGTGGGGAAGTCCTTGATGTGTATGCTGAAGCAAGGCTTTTGATTGATGCTGGATCTGTGGCAGGTTTGGAAGGGCTTCCAGAGGACACAAGATTGGCAGACCCCTGGACAGGATATTGGCCCATTTGGACAACGGTTTTAATAGGTGAAGGCATAGTCCTGTAAGACCTTATGGGAGATGAGGACACTACCTCACTAACAGATTTAACTGGAGTTGACAAAAGAGGTGGTTGTGGTGGAGCTCCAAGGGTTGCTTTGATAGTTGAGCGGCATGCAGGTGAAGGGGAGGAGAGGGGCCAAGTAGTTTTCAATGGAGAAGCAGCTGGTGAGCCGGCCGGTGAATCGGTAGAGGCGAGGGAACCCCCCACTCCGACTGGCCTTGTTTGACCAGGGACGGTAATAGGAGCAGTCGACCATGGTGGGAAAGGTCTGGTTGGAAAGACAGGTTTGTGAGGGTAACCAGCAGGCAGTGTTCTTGCTGTTGTGCTTCGCTCAACTGCTGTTTCTTCAGATGGAATTGTAAAAAGTAATGGGAAAGAAGGAATGGGAAAAATAATAGAAAGGATGCAGAGTAGTAAAGATAAAATAATGTTGGGAAAAGAAATGAAGAAAAAAATGTTGAAAGAGGAAAAGATCAGAGGAGGAACATTTGGTCAGTGACGCAGTCCTGGTATCAAGGAGGGAAAAACAGCAGTTTTATGAAGTGCTGAGATAAGAAATTTGAGTACTGATTTAGGATGGGTTTATGAAAAGAATCAGTTGTGTTCCTGTGTGATTCAGGATTGGGAGAAGACTCAAACAACAGCAACAACAACAGCAGCAGCAACAACTTAATGAATAAACTCAATGAAGCACATACAACAGCAAAGTAAAATTCCAAAGACGATGACGTTGACCAACAATTGACAACAGAAAAATGGCAGGACAAATGCTTGGGATTGACATAAAAACAACTTCTCTCTTTGGACTTCAGATGTTCTGAAATCAAGGTATAGATTCTGGCTCTAATTTCAATCCGCTTATTAGAGTGCCTTTTATCTGTTTGTCAAAGAAATTACATATTGACAGACTCCCCAAAGTCAATTTAGAAAGTATGACACCATAAAGCCAAGGGCTACAAAAGTTTCAATTTTCCTTACAAACAGAATATGACAAAATGTGTTTTCCAAGACCTTAGTTTTGGGACATTTTGTCATGCAAAAGCAATAAGAACTTGGTGACAAGCAGAGTATGACAAACTGAAAGAAAAACCTTAAAGAAAGCCAAACTCAAGATCTCCTAGCATGCATTTTGTCCCACAACAAGCTGCTACATCGCCCCAAAGACCAAAAAGAGTTTCAGACTTAGAGGGGACAAATGAAGATTCAAATTTTACTTTGACCTCTTTCCCCAAACGCTTTAGAAATGATATCAGCAAGTCAAAGAAAAATTTTGATGGTGCTGCATTTACAACCTTGAAAAACTCTGCAGTGGAAATCAACCAAACAAATCCAGGAGTACAACTCACAACGTGGGCAAGCACAGCACAGAAACTTAAAAACCACTCATTTACCCATGCAAAAATATGTACCATGTTGTCAACAGGCATGTGAACAGTGCATGTTATGTAGGATGAAAAATACGCATTTATTACATAGAGTAAGACACATCTATCTACATATTAATCACGCAGGTTTATTACAGGTTGATTAAACTTGTTAATAGACTACCTTATCTTATTGTATTCATCAAAGGGTTTGTTAGTGAAAATGTCAAACTCACTCAGTGCAGGCTCGGCCAGATAGCTGTAGCGCTTACGTAAGGCTAGGGATGCAAAGGTATGACGTCGCTCTGGCTTTTCAGTCTGCAACAATAGCAAACAAAACATCAGTTTTACGTCAAGCTACTTTGTGTAGTTCTGCCAAATGAGCAACATCTGGACCGTATAATTTGAAACCAAGCAAACCCAATAGTCTGCATTAGTTGGTGTTAACAAAAAGAGTTGCATATTGCAACACCAAATCATCCTTTTAAGAGGGTTTATTCCCCTTAGTTCTTTATTTTTTCAAGAACTAAGAGCACTTATTACGAATAGTGTTAACAAGCAAAGCGGTTTCAAATTAGCTTAGAGATATGACTTAAAACTTGAATTTATAGGTACCTCAAAGTACAAATAATCAGTTCTTAAGTAATGTGACTAAATTTTAAATCTTGCCACTTTTATCACATGTTAAGGAACAGAAGGGATAATAATTGGCTTTAAAACAAATGGTTTGTCATATCTAGAATATATCATGCAAAAATTGAGCAGCTGAAGGTCGCATTGAAAAAGTAATGCTTGAATTGCTCTGATAAAAGCGGGAAAAAATAATGCTATGATGAACAGAGCAGGGCCATTATAAATCTAGCGCAGAGGAAAGCACATGGGTGGGGAGGGTGTGGTTTACCTCATCCTCGGCATCTGACTCCATTTCCTGGTTCCCAAGATGCATTGCAGAAACAGGGGGGAGTAACATAATGGAAAGCAGGGGGAAAAGAAACATCAGGGTGTGAAAAAGGAGTGATTGACAGAAGCTCCAACGCAGAGGAGAAGCCACTTAAGCAAACTCAGCATACAAAAAAAATAAAACAAGTACTAAACACCAAAAAAAAAAGCATAAAGCGGCGACACTCAGAAGCAAAAACAGCAAATGAAGACAAGCAACGTCACACAAAAAAAGCCTTTGCACAAAAGCCCTCAGCCAAAAGCACGGCATTCAAATCAAAAGAGAGGTATAGGAACAAAACGAAACAGCCAATGAAGAGAATCCACTGTAAAGATAACCCGTATAAATATAAATATATATATATACAGAGAGGCTTTAAACAGATAAAAGACACAGGGGCGGCGGTTTGGCCAAAGTCTTTCTCTGTCTTTCATCTACCAGTGTTATTGGGGCTGAAAATATCCCAACCGTGAGTATGGTTATGGAGGTGACAACAGAAAATGGTTCGTTTGGACAACCTTACCTTTTTCATAGCAGGAAGTGTGATGTTAAGGTTGCACACGGCGGTTTGCGGGAGGCCCTTTGCCGTCCTACATTCCTTAAGGAACGTAAGACGACCGCAGGGCTCCTGGCTGGGATCTCTCACCTAGAGAGAGAACATTGCTTCTTTATGAACCTCACTATTTTATTTTTCATTTTTTTCCACATTTGTTTATGAAGGAGTGAACATGAGGTCTTTCTACTCAACAGACGCTGTATTTCAGAACAACTGCTTTGTATATTAGTGAGTATGTACTATGTAAGCTAACTGTCTTTTAAGGTAATATAGCACAGAAAAGAAGAAGAAGCCCTTGTGAATGGTACAGTTAGAGATTATTTTCCATTGACATTAAGGCTGTGCACTAGCAAGAATCAGGGGATATAAAATGTATCATGACACAGGGAGTAGAATCAATATAATGCCATATATTGCAAAAATGTGCACAAGCTGATATACTGCATTTCTAAAAATGATTCTTAAAGGGGACATATTATGACAAATCCTCTTGTACAGTGTTTTTGAACATTTATTTGGGTAACCTGAGTGTCTACTGACCCACAAAATGTGAAATAAACCCATCCAGTCCTTTGTTTGTGGTCTGCATAAGTCTTACAACACAGAGAAAAATGATCCGTTTCAAATGTGCTCTCCTTGTGATGTCACAGTGGGATTCTGGTAAAGAAAAAAAAAACCTCCCCTCCTCTGATATCTCCACCCCCAGCCTAGAACAAAACTTCTGTGCAGGTCCGCCATTTTTATTCTTGCTAGCGAAGGAGTGATGTCTACCAGAAAACTCAGGGGGCGGGCTCATTGCATTTAAAGAGACACACACACCAAAATGGAGCATTCTGAGAGAGCTGGTTTCTACAGGGTCACAAACCTCCTCTGGTGCTTGATTCATGTTATATTTTGACCAGAGCACAGCACAGATGTTTCATTTAGACCACAGGGGGACTGTTTGAAAAGGTGGAAAAAGGGGGATAAAATGTCCTCTTTAAGTAAAACTGTCATTGAGCCCTAGTTAACAGTATTATATGGACAGGCTGCCCTGCTGGTGTGATACAGTGGTGTTTGGTCTGGTTTCATAATAACAGATTGACAATGATGCAAGGTATCGACTATGGAGAACATAAAGTCAGTGGGTTGATCAATAATGTTAGGTCATTTATCAGCCACAAAGAGAACTAGGTTAAACTCTTTGGACGTTGGAGTTTACTGTGTTTAAAGGTTGTGTAGGGGGGAAGTAGGGCATTAAAGGGGAGAAGGACTAAAAGTGTCATGACTTTTAACACTTTATTTGAGTTATTCTCAATGATGCTTTACTGCAGTGTTGATCTACAAAGACTTCAGAGTTCCACATTTAACCCAAATAACGCAACGGTGATAATAGAGCGTTTGCAGTACCTTGACACAGAAGGGTAAACGGTTCTCCTTGAAGGCGTAAAAGTTAAGAACTAACTGCTGACTAGCTTTGGTCAGAGGAGCCAAGTTTCCATAGCAGTCCAGATAGATGGGCCGACCCTCCAGAACCTGAGATTGCACAAAGAAGAGGTGAGAACAACATCTGATGGTACTTTTTTCAAAAGTATTCATGATATGGTGATATGACTTGATGTACAAATACATTAAAAAATTCAGTTTGATGTATTTTGGGGCTTTTTATGCTTTTATTTGATATGACAGTTGATAGAGCAGGAATAAAAAATGGATCGTACCTCTATGTCTTTGCTCCTGGCCACCTCCTCAAAGTTCTCCTGCTGCTCCAGAGTCTTATCCACCTTGTCGTCGGTCATACAGAAACACCTCAGCCTGGACTCCACGGGGTCGTTCATCTTAGCGAACACCACAAACTTGGCCATGTACGGCACGCAGATGAGCTCCCTGTACAGCTGCGTGGCCAAGCCCACCGTCTCCGGGATCTGGTGACAGTCCGCTAACCAGAACCTGCACGACAGTCCAAGCGAATCGTTAACTTTTCACACAGAGAGATGAATTCACTCCACGCACAAACAGTCGTAAGAGAAAGAAACAGGTTGTCTCACCTGGCCGAGACGTTGGTGGTGAAGGAGACGCAGTCATTGACGAAGGTGAGAGGAGTCGTACCGGTGATGTCTTCCCACTGAGCCGGGGACGTACCGCCTGTTAAACAGACACAAAGGGAAACATCAGACCTTCATTAGCTTCATGTTATGAGTTGTTTTATTGATTTGCCCCTCTGGAGAGACGTTCTAATATATCAGGCTTTAAATAATTATTTTCCAAATTTCAAACCCTGAAGACCACAATAAATATCGAACCAAAACAAGACTTTTTACTTTTTACAGGAGCACCATGTTTTTTAATCACTCCTAAAATGCAACCTTCTCTCTAAAATGACTTTTTTTCAACCGTACAATAAAGCCTCCTTAAAAATAAGATAAAGCGACATGTACAACCACGTTCACACACCTGTAATGCTACAGAGAAGGCGGAGGCATGGAGTGCAGTCTCCTTTGTAGCCGTTGGTAAGCCCCTCCCCTGAGAGGGGCGGGATTGGGATTGTCATGGTGATGGGCTTGTGGAACTTTCTTCTTCTGGGCTCCACGGTAACGATGGGGCTGAAGGTCGCTCTGTTGCCGAGGATTTTCTTAACGGTGTCGTCGGGTACTGGCTGAGCCTGTTGAGAAAAAAAATATTATAGCATGTTAGCTGTTAGCTTCTGTCACTATTCTTTCTGAGAGACACAAATGTAATTTAACACCCACCTGTAGTCCCACTTTGATCTTCTTGGTTAAAGCCCCCTCTGGAAAGGAAGCTTGAACCAATGGGACGCTCCGACTGCACAGAGTCCCGCCTCTGGTCCCATGTGATTGGTCTCCTGTCTGATTCTGGACACTACAGCAAAGTATTGAGGGAAGTCCTTGGTGATGATGCGGCAGATTCTCTTCTTCTCCAGCTCCTCAGGACTGTCGAGCTCTACAGCGAGGGAAAATAATTCAGTTCATTTGATTCAAACTACTCTGTGAATGTTAGAGGATCATACTGTAAGGGTTTCGTAAAAGTCCTCTTTGATGAGTCTTTAAACTTGCCTTATCTTTTAAAAAACCAAACCAATGCTTTACCTTCATCCATCCCGCTGAGCAGCTGTTTGAGGTCGTCCGTCTTGTAGTCGTACAGATGCTCCTTCCAGGATTCTCCGTTCTCACTGCGCAGCAGGATCAGCTCTCTCTCCTGGCCCCGCATCGAGCCAAAGTGTGGGATCTCCACAATCACAGGCCTGGTGAGGGAACACGTTAAGGGGGGAAATATGTGTTAATGGATCACATTTCATTCCTTCCATAAAACCAAAGAAACAAAGACAAACTAAAACAAATGAATCCTAAAATGCGTCTTTGTAAGAGAAGAGATGCTCAGTTTATTGATTTTTTTCAGAGAAAAAGGAAAGCTGTTATTTACTGACATAAAATCAAAACAGGACAAAGAGATATCCTCAAGTATAAGCAGGTGATAAACACATTTAATAAAGGTCGCTTTAATTACTGTTTGACAAACTGTACAGGTATAAATGATCTTATGATGATGACATAATGTTAGCGGTGGTCGTGCTGAAGCTCAATGGGACAATCAGAGTGCATGTGATAGCTTGACGTGATGTTGACGAGACACTTGAAATGGAACAAAGACTGGAACGAGGAGAAAGCTGCACAGCCCTTATTCAAACAAGGTGTGAGAGCAACAGAAGAGAGAAGGACAAATGGACCAGATTTTAAAATCATAAACCCCCTCACCGTCTGTAACTGAAACGGGCGCTGAATCCTCAACCAAAAAATTATTCAAAGTATTTGAGGACAGCACAGCAAAAAAATTTAAATATCCACTTATTGCCAACAGAAAATTTGATTTTTACCAAACCCCTAACCCTAACAATAACCCCAACCCTAACCCGCCCAGACCAATCAAAACCAAGAAGGTTTGGAATTCTGATGTCATCTTTGTCAACTACATTGGCGGCCGCTAATGCCAGGACACGGGTCCTTACCCCTTGTCTTTACGTTTTCTTGGTTAAATGTCCTTGAATAAAAGAAAGTATTACGTACAGCAAGTGATTTATAACAGACCGAACGGCCTCTAGCAAGTGCTGCTAGACAACTTTTGTAACCATGGCAACAAGAGGCTCCCTGTGAGAAGCACCGAAATTGAGGTCAAAGGCACTTCCAGCAACTTCCAAAAGGCAGTTAGTGGACACAGGTCCTCTGTAGAGCTGCAGGCCTGTGACCTATCATTTATTTAATGTTCATCACTTTGCAAAAGGGATCAACATTCTTGTTTCATTCTAGTTTAATATAAAAGACTTTAAGCCAAACCCTGTCGACAAATGGTTCTGGAAATACAGTACACAAAACAGGCTGTGGGATGACATAAAGAACTGATCTCAAAAGGTGAAGTAAAAGTAAGAGGAGTCATGGGAAGCAGGATGATGCTCGGCTTGAGGAGGAAAAAGGCTCATGCCCAACAAGCGCAGTCCAGTCCAAACAGCCAATCAAAAACCTTTTGGCTTTCAGTGACGCCTGAAGCCCACTGAAAGCGTCTGAAAGAAAGAAGACAATGGTCTCTGCAATGGAGTCAAAGCAAATTAGTGTAGTTTTAGGAAGAATTGTAAAACTCTACTATAGAAACTCAACACTGTGTCTCTCCCTGATATGCTTATGAGGCCAAATCTAACCCACTTCCCTGAGGTACACCCGTCTTCTTACTAACATTAAGCTCAGATATGGAATAACTGTTTTATTCTTACATTGACTTCTTCCCAAAACTACGGTATAACAGTAATGCTGTGTCCTAACAAATCAAAGTCAACAGAGATGGGTAAAATAATCCATCAGCATGAATCAGCCTCGGTCATGTCGCTTCCTTTGGGAGCGGTGGGAGATACAGACGGGGGCAGGGAGTAAGGAGGAGGTGAGGATGGGGGGAGCTATGTTTGGTTTTCCTACCCAACAAATCTAGTTCCTCTGGGTCCCAGCTGGAGCACTGGACTAACCAGGCTCTCGCCTTCATTAAGGGCTGGCAGCTTTCTGGGAAGATGTAGTTTACTGTGTCCGCAAGATAATAAAACACACACACACCCACACACACCCACATCCACACACACAACACACACTTGCAAGGTCAGTTAAAGCACACACACCACTGACCGCCAAATCTTTTGTTTCAAGCCATCATCTATGACATCACTTGTGACCACTTATTGCAGATACTAGAGATGCTGCTGTGTATAAGAGGTGGATGTGGATGAATCTGAATAATGAAGGGAATGCTGAACGTAACCTTCACTAGTCGCAAAAGAAATGTCCGATTACTTCAAAAAGACCCGACTTTCATCTGATTTATGACCTCAGAAACCTTTTCCTCATGAGTTTACTGATTGTGATTTACATTCAATTTAGTGCAGAAGTTATTTTGCGCTAGATGTTGACGTTAGTTTGTATGCGTCAGAGAAAACAAAAGGTGCTCACACTCGCACAGTGAGAGCAGAGCCACGAGCCGAGTCAACAACTTAGTTTTTGAATTTCACCTGCGCAAAATGTCAGACAGCGACTGAAAGGCTTTATGTGTGATTTTTCACACTTAAATATAGAAATCAAGTATATCCTCTGAAAATAACTCTGTGAGTCATGACTGTCTACAATGGGTGTAACACCCGAGTCCCACTGTCTGTGATGTTTTCAGAGTTTTCAGAGTCATATCTTCACTTTGTTTACATCGCCAGGACAGAATAACATACTGTACTCACTGCTTAACTGTGTTTCTAGATCACGCTCATTTCAGGTAAATTTACATGCAGTGTGAAGATACAATTCGCATATAAAGCCTTTATAGCACCATGGCAACAGCTGACCTGCCTGTTTAATTTCCTCCTATCATGAAACATACGAACAAGAGAAATACAGTCGAGACATAGCAGCAGACCAGCAGCTGTCAGGGAAAATGTGTTGTGATTTAGCTCCCTAGCTAGCTTCTGTGTGTTGATGATGGAGAGTGTGTGTTCATGTGAGAGAGCGTTTGTGACGGTGTTGTTGTTTGAGACGTGTATATGAGACAACTAAAATATGAACAGATCGGACTTTAACTTCCATCTCAGAGTATCAAAAGGAAAATTCATCGACAATTGTTAATGCTCCGTCCAGATTCAACACGTACAGTGTGAGCACTGAAATCGTGAGCGTTGGTCGTGGGATTGTAAATGATTCAACTTTCAAGTGCGAGTTGACATCTCATCAAAAGATGTGTACAATGGGACAGTGTATGCCCGGCCTCATACAACATCTAAAGGATGTTTTCTGCCTCTGATTCAGCCTTTTGTTGAGATACTCTTAAATAATTTCCAAACTGATGTACCCAAAAAAAGAATCCAGGCTTCCAGCTGCTCCAAGGTGTGCTTGTGTTGATGTTTTCTACTTTCTTTTAGGATGTCTGGACTGTTCTTGGGGGAGGAAAAAAGCTTTTTCAGGACATGACCACTGGCCTCTTGTACACTTGTATAATATAATGTCCTTGAACATTTTACCACAGCAGTGATTTGAAATCATTAATGTTTTAAAAACCTCTATAACCCCAAAAGATGAGCTCAGGTAAGTCATTAACTGATCAACTGGCCACATTTTTTATTCATCAAATCAGCTGACATGTAGGCCTATTGTATGTTACTCTAACTCTAAATGAACAAATTCAACATGTAATCAGGGTCTTCATAGAGCTGGACTGGTAGAGGGGCACTTTCACATCGTTCAGTTTCACATGTGTTAGAGATGCTGCCTTTACTTTGCCAAGGGGAAACACACTGAAACGTTTTTTCACTTCAAACAGCAGGTGTTTACACCTCCACATGTGCGCACACACATTCACACTTTTAAATACAAACGCAGAAGGCTGGAGAATGACGATGGCAGAAAGCAGAGGGAAGGAGATGTCAAGTAACCGAACACAAGTGCGGAAAGATAACGCCGTTAAGCAAAACTGCAGGAATACTGATGAAGATAATGCAGTCTTACCCGAGGAACTGAGCTCCTGCTGGGCCGACCTCCACCAGTCTGCTGGCCAGGCCTTCTCCTTCCACCATGGGAGGAGGAGACGCCAGCTTGTGTTTCTTGACCAGCCTGCAGGTGATCCTGGTGGGCGCCGTGCATTTTCTCGGCGGGATGATGATGCGCATGCCGTTGTGGCGACTTCCTCTCATAGAGCCGCCCCTGGCGTCCACCATGAAGCTGACCAGGAACCTGAAAAAGGGAAGGAAAGGGAGGAGGAGTGAGAGGAGACGGTGGAGTAGAGACAGGAGATTAGTGAGAGGAGAAGAAAAGACAGGAGGAACATGTGGGGGAGAAAAAGAGATAAGAGCGAGGAGAGATTACAGGAAAGGAAATGGAATAAAAGGTAAAAAGACATCAGAGTCACAACAGTACTGATGGAGAGAGAAGAGCTTTGGTTGAGGTGGAGTCCGTTCCATGCTGTGATCTTTAAAACACACACAAAGTCAGTGTGAGTAAAGGAGGAGAAAGAGGGAAGATCTGAGATGTAAGGAGCTTTCTGTGTTGGACATGGCTGCTCTTTAAAACAAAATCTTCATAACATAGTAGAACTAGCCAACATGCCAACACAGGAGCCTCCAGTGTATCTTGTGTTTAACCCATGTTTAAGGGAAGTGTAGTTGTGTGCAAAACTACACTTTGAACTTTAAAAATCACACACACACACACACGCAAATATCCACACCATGCATCGGTAAACAAGATGTCATGTTAGTTTGTATGAATCTGTGACACAAATGGCGTGAATAGAAATTTAATTTTGCATAAATGAATCCTTAAAGGGAGGATGAGCGACACTTTACACATAAATAAAGCAGAAATTAAAGTATATCCTCTGAGTCATGACTGTCTACAATGAGAAGCTCGAGTCCCGCTGGCTGTGTTGTTGTCGGCGCTGTGTTTACATCATGTTTACGTGGACGGGACGGCCTTGAGTATAAAGCTGTTTTAGTCAAGGATGAAGAAAAGATGAATAACATACTCACTGATTATTCGGCTGTCATGTAAGTGTCAACTTATGTGCAATATGAAGCTACGAGCTAACTAAAGAGCATGCTAACACAACAATGCAGGACACAGGTGATTGCTGCTCGAGCAAAGGACAATTTTGTCCACTGCTTGTGCTTCATGGTGATTAATTATGGTGCGTTCTAATTGATAACGCCTTCAATGTGAACGCGGGAGGAGGGGGGGGTTGGAGATGTGTCGCTGGAGGAGAGCGGAGGCTTCAGAATAGTGGAGTTGTCACCAAACAGTTTGTTTTGGTTTCATGCTGGTGCTAAAGGGCGACATGTACTGGATCAAAAAGTCACACATTCTTCCTTTAAGAAGATAATATAAAGTCTAAGAATACTTATACGAATGGTATCTTTGTTTGCAATATATGACTCTTTAACAGGATTCTGCATCTTTTTAGTTTCTATTGTGTTTAGTTCCAGGTGTGACTACGGCGCACGTCCATTTCATTTCAATCTCTGCAAAGTCACATTCAGATCAGTTAGAGAAAGAAAAGCAAAAAAAAACACAAAAAGCAAAAAATCCAAACCACTTAAAAGTCAGATCTGTAAAACACAGTTCATGTGTGAGGAGAGCAAACACAGATGTTACGAGTGACCGGGGTGGGGGGGGCAGGTGTGTGTGTGTGATGTCACCAGAAACAGGAAGTAACACAAAGTTGTGGAGGTGATTAAGAGGGGGAAACCAATCACAGTCAATCACCTGCTGTCGTACTGCGGGAGCGGAGAGGAAAAACTGCAGGATGGACGACAAAGCAGCGCAGGAGTGACAGGTCAACAACAGAGCTGGTGTAACGATTGAATACCACTGAACAGAAGATTTGACATTCTGACAAAATATGGTCCAGAAGGTTAGAGGAGGAGAGTCGGGGGAGGGGCTTTTTGCTTTGACTCGAGAGGGCAGTGGATAGAGTAGGAAACCAGGGAGAGAGATATATAGTTAGGAATGACATGCAGACACCAGACTTGAGCCCCGGCTGCCCGCTTAAAGGACTTTAGCCTGTGTACATGGGGCGTGACCTAACCGCTAGGCCATCTGCGCCCCTGTAAGAACATTTTATAAAGCGATACAGGGTACTTTTAAGTGTCTGTTACAGTTCTTTTTACTGTCCGCTGTAAGCTCTTTATTATATCCAGTCACAGCGTCATGTGTTTCTGTATGGGCCTAAAAGGTCTCTGGGAAAGTGTAGAGTACGGACTGAAACATGAGAGTCCTACAACATTTTTAATCTTACGCTCCGCCGGACCAGCAAGCGAGGGGATTTCCCAAAATGTCAAACGTTTGCTGTTATAGCAGCTGCTTCTTTTTTCATAGTGAGATGAGTCACAGGTGGATTATCCCCCCAAAGGTCATTTATTTATTTATTTATCTAAAATATCGGGGGAGTAAGGAGCAGGGGTTTTTGGATCTGGATTCGGGAAACTCATCACTCAAACATTACCTTTGAGTGATATATGAGTAGTTTTGTTTAGCATTATGATATCATACATTATTTATGGAAATAAAGGAAGTGTTTTTTTTTGTGATCAGATCATTTTCATTTGAAAAAGGATCAGAAAATCAGAGTGGAAAGAGAATCTGCTGCAGGACGGAGCTGCTTTCTGGGGAAGAAAATGAGAAAATGCAACACAGGCAGAAAAGAAAAGCACACGTCATGTCCCCCTAACACCTTTTCCTTTAAAAAAAAGAAAAAAGAAAACCCCAGCGTGATCATAAAGGCCTGTTTTCTAGCTTTCCCCTCCCGAGCTGTACGACTGAGAAAAAGTCAGCTGTGACATTTTCCCTGATCCTCGTCTTTATCCGCTCATCAGTAATGCTCACCCGGAGTGTATCGGTGAGGAGACCAGGTTGACGTTATCCAGTGCGTCCGCAGTCCAGCTGTACCTCCTCAGAGAGTCGTTGTCATTGTCCTTAGCCGCGGCCAAATGCTGCGAAGGACACGATGAGGTCATTGAGAGGCTTGTGTGTGTGTTTACATGTAAACTTGTGTGTGCAGGTTATGCAGAAATGTATTAAATGTGTGATCTTTATTTGAAATGAAGGAGAGAAAGAACAGAAATGAAATAACAAAACACATTGTTGTTGTCATGATGAATCCATGCACTGAAATAAAAACAAAGGAAGAAAATGAAGAATATCTCGCCTGAGTTGATGGAGGTTTTACAAATAATAACAGGGATAGTTGGTGAACGACCTGCCTGAACCCCCCAGTTTGTCCCTACCCTTCTTCCTGCATCTTATTCCATCTCCCTCAATCCAATTTTTCAAGCCCGGGACAGTTTCATCAGATGGCTGTTCATCATGAGTCTGGATTTGTCACAGATTTCTGCATCTTAAAAGTTTTTCTTGCCACTGTAACTTTTCTAAACGTTGCTTAGTGCTCATGATGGATAAACTTTGGGTCTTTGTAGATAACTTAACACTGAGTATGGTCTTTTTTCCTGCTCTTTTTGTTATCCTGAGATAACATTTGTTATGAATTGGCTCTATACAAATAAAGATTGCTTGAAAAGACGAGCATCACTTCTTAAATTTCTTACAGGACTTATGGCTGAGTGATCAAAATAATTCTGTACATGGTAGTACAAATTCACAAGTTATTTTAGGAGGGAAATTTGCCTTTTTAAAACCTTAATATCCATTGTTTAAAGGATGGTTATTAAGAAAGAAGCCAGCTCTAGATGACCCAAAAGAAAGCCAATAATATAGCCCATTAAAAGATTACAAAACGGGCATCTTAAACTTGTCTGTGAAGGTTTCTCAGGTAAACTCGAAGATTGATCCAAAGACACCAGAGGCAACGTGACTAGGTTGAAAATCTCAAAGTCTCCTCCTAAAGGCGTCTTCATGTGAGTCATCCTACGTCATTATCATTAGCTTGATCATTAGCATGCTAATGATCCACAGAGGCTTAAATCTGTAGCTCCGTCCACCAGTTAGTTGAGGGGGAACATCTTTAAGATCTTCAACCAAGTCCAGGATGCCTTTGGATCAAGCTTTGAATCCAGAACCTGTTCCAAGATGTCAAAAGTACAGAATCTGTATGGTATGACTAAGAGCTGATCAGTTCCTTTTATCGATGCTAGCATGTTTATTTTTTTTTCAGAGTTATGGCGGGGAGGAAGCAATGGGCCAAAGTGTGGCTTCAGTTTATCAACATGAACGTGTAAATGATCACTCTCGAGTTGTGTGTCTCAGGAATGATCATTTAAGGTGGGAAACTCCTTAAAAACGGCTGAAAACGTGGGCTTCAATGTGAGGAATGTCGCCTATTTTACAGTCTGCATTATCCGGCAGAAACCTCAGAACAAAGGGAGAGAAAATGATAAATACATTCTGTGCAAGCTCTGCAACTTAACATAACTGATGATGACATGACTGAACTGAAAAATAAACACTACACCACATAGAAGTGTGAATGGTATGTCATGTCATGCACCGGTGGAAGGATGACACAGTGACTTTAAACATCTACCTTGTTGTGTTTCTCTACAATGAAAGACCTCTCCTTACAGAACATCTGCAGCAGCGTGAAGGGAGACAAGCTGTTATTTAAGGAGCTGTTACATCCACAGGTCGTATCATCATGTGACTTTGAAGTACTCTCCAGATAACTGCACTTTGCTTCTCAAGATACTTTGTCTTGTTTACATATAAACAGCATGCACAGAAGAGCATGACGAACACGCGCTGTGTGATTGAAGGTTGCCCCGTGTTATTGAGCAACCAAACTCTGCATGCTTGGGGAGGACACCCAAAGGCGAGTTTGTGTCCAGGGCCTCGTACTCGTTATGATCCGTCCTTGGTCCTATCTAATAGGACAGCTGAAGAGACACAGGAAGTAGAGCAGGGATGATGACATCACATGGTTGTAGGCCAGGAGCTGAACCTGCGTCCAGTGTGACGAGGCCTGTAGCCCCTTTATCTGTAGGCTCCCCCCTGCTCTACCAACTAAACTAAATCATTTTTAACTTTGCAGAAAATGTTTTTATAGCATACCTTGTGTTCTTTTTTTTGGCCTTTAGGATATATATTCTTCAACACCTTTTACTTTATTAAGTTTAAGTACCATTTGACTTCATCTGAGAAATGAGTGGAACATTAAAGTAATCCCGCTAACAAGCCCTAACTACCAATCAAATGTACTCTTTCGGTGAATTGTAAGAGGATTGGTCGTGTCTATATATCGGCTCAGACTCCGGGGTAAGAGGATTGGTGGATAGTCCGGGTTCTGGCACAGCGGTGTGACGGCCTGGCACATTTTGGAGACGGAACTATTGTGACGTTCATGAACCTGAGGATCACTGAAAGGGCAAGAGAGAGAGAGAGATAGAGAGAGAGAGAGAGAGAGAGAGAGAGAGCAGTCAGGATACGTACCATCTCCTTACTGGGCGCTAGGATCTCCTCGATCATCATGCTGTCGCGCGTGAACGAGCTCCGGTTCAGCGTGTTGGACCTATCAGAACTGAAGGAACGCAGGCTTGGTGTGGTTGCCGCAGAAGTCACGGATTACCAAGACAACAGTCACAATGATGGAGAGGGGGGAAGTGAGGAGGAGGAGGAGGAGGAAGGAGGGGGGTGTAAGGGGGGGGGGGTATGAAAGTGAACAGAAAAAACAAACATAAACACATTAAATGCATGCAGCTTCCAGGAACCTGACTGAATGCCACCAGTTACAACACAAACCACAAGGCAAGGAAGATGCTTCTTCAGTAAAGGTTTTTTTTCCAAGAGCTACAAACACTTAGGTTGTTGCCCAATGGCCATTAATTTGTCTGAGGCAACAAAACACATGTGAGGAAACTAAACTCTGTTGAAATCCAGATGCAAATGTAGTTGAAGGGGGATGGCTGGTTTTTTCCAAATAACTCTTGAGACACAACCAAACAACAATATCTCTGTACTTTATTACTGTTTTAATACGTTTCTTATTTCCTAACAACTGGGCTATTCTCAAAGTGTTAGCAAACACAATTTAAACGCCCCGAGAGCCCAGAGAGGGAAGCAGAGCAGCCAGTGAGAGTTAAATAAATGTTTGTATGAGAAACAATGGATGCAGTACTTGGTTGTCTCATGCACATCTTTTGACAAAACCTCCCTATGAGAAGTGTACATTGGACAAAAGATGCTAAAGTTTCTGTCTGCCTTCATTTGTCTGCGATCGTGTGCCGAGCCGTTGTTGTCGTGTGATGGAGCTCAGAGAGAAACTTTAATGAGGCAAATAAAAGAGCATTCCTGAGCGATGACACACCATGAAATGTTTTCGCCTGCAACATCTCAACCGCAATTACAACAGCACCGTTTGCTCCACTTACAGTAAGTGAAGTGATGTGAATGAATTAGCCAGTGCTCAGATGACATGCACTGTACTGGAGCAAAACCAAAAACACATTTCTTACAGTAAAATGAGAAAATGTATGGAAGCTAGAGAGGCAATGGTTGCATTAAGTAATTCAACCCTAAAAAAAGGCACTTTAAACATGTGTGTTTTTACGATTATTTACCGTAAAACTCAGTTGATAAAACACACTTTTATTCATAATTTGAATATAAGAAGTGGGCTGCATCCTATATATGAGTGCAACCAATACACCTGTATAAAATGCTGGGACATACGGCCTCATGACTGAAAGTGCAGCCGCCACAACCACCCACTGCATGCCGCCTGATTGGTTTGGACATTTTGCCCCATTTGTTGTGTATTGCACGAGGCCGCTTTGCTGCACTTCTTAACAGCTTCCATGAGGTCATAATCCTGCATTTTAAGACAATGGTGGTATACTGTGTATAGAGTTTAGTAAATAAACTTTGTGGAGTGATGGTTTGTTTGAGATTAAAGACAACGAGTGAGCAGCAGAGGTGGTCAGTGCGGCTCAAAGCAAATTGGCTTCAGGCTGTGGGTCTGACTTCCCCTGATGCTGACAGCTCAACTTCTGTATCCTAGCTGACAGGATTGCAAACTCCACATGATGAAAACAGACGATACAAGAAAGAGCTGCACAGAAACTGCACATTGAGGACTTTGCAGAACACATTAAAAATCGTCAAAACAGTGTAATCCTTTTTTTCCCCTCTGGGAGACCCCAACAACAGACTGCGACTTACATAAAGGTGTGACCTAAATTCATGATTTTACAGTACTTAGGATAATATCAACAAAGTAAATCAAAACAAATGTAAAAAGTTAGTGCATTAAACTATATTTTCTGTGAAATTCTTTTTGCATTTGTGCATTTTAAATCTTCCTGAACTGATGGATAAAAGACAAATTTGCAACCATGGTCTCTTTTGGCTTCCAAATAAACAATCAAAGATATTTAAATGGTAAAAGTCTTAAGCTAACACTTGCTGAACATATATTTCTTTAGTGAATCTACGACATTAAGAATTAATCTTGGTACTGTACATTGATTATGACATTTAAGTAATTACAACTGTGCTAATACATTTTTTAAAGGTCTATTTTGGGGCTTTTTATTGGAGAGATAGGACAGTGGATAGAGTCAGAAATCAGGCAGGGAGAGAGAGTGGGTTATGACATGCGGGGAAAGGAGCCACAGGCTGGATTTGAACCCAGGTCGCCCACTTGGAGGGCCACAGCCTCTGTACATGGGGCACTCGCACTGACCACTACGCTACCGGCGCCCCTAAAGAACCAAAATGTATGGTCGTTTTTTTTACCATAAAGATTTTGTTGCAGTAAAATTCAACAAATTTCCAAAACAATTACATGATTTATGTAATTAGTTAAAGTATTTGTGCTGTTAAAATACTTTTAATGAGTCTGCATGTACATTTGTAAATGAAATGTACATTTGTTTCTTAGCACTAACAGTTTCTGACAACATACAGTGAGTTTATTCTGCACTGTATTGTCTCGTGTGGAAACTTTAAGACACTAAACTGATGAAGGCAAACGCTTTTGCCCGCAGAGAAATCAGTTCAGGTCCCTGGAAGCTCGATGAACTCCACACAGAAACCAAAAAAAAAAAAAAAGATGCAAAGCTTCACCTTCTGCGGTGAACACTACAAAGACCCCAGGCATGAGGAATCAGTCAAAAAGAAAAAAACACAACAGGCTGTTCTCTTCAAGCAGCAGGACTTCAAAAGCAAGAAATCGGGACACAGAAAACAACACAAAGTGAACGACAACACAACACAGTGCCTGATGCTAACATTCAGGAGGGTTAAAATCATAACATCTGGTCAAAATCATTAAGTTAGTAGTCAAAAATACACAGCAAAGATGTATTACATTGGACCACAAAGTCATGATATTGGTAGTGACTGGAGTCTAAGGGGGTGAGGGGAGGGGAGGGAAAGAGGGACGATGGGTGGGGTGGGGTAGGGGGATTGGGGAGGAGGTGTAGGGAGGTCTCTTCATGCCTTTAGCCTTACCTGACTTTGGGACTAACATTAAGAACGGACATGAGGAGAGAATATAAAAGATTATAAACAAACAGAGGAGAGATGCAAACAGGAGAAAGCCAGAGCAGAGGTGCAGGTTGGAAGTCTGATGCACAAACTGACGGACTGAAAGTTGAGCTAAAATGTCGTGTTTATACCTTAAAAACCAATATCAGAGGTTTTAATCTTTCCCCAAGAATCAAAAATTCATTTCAAAGATTTATTGAATAAGTGGATTGGTTTTTTTAAAACATCAAATGTTAAAAATGTTAAAAGTCTGTTGTGTCCTCTGCTAACTGCACTCCCATGGTTAAGATAAGCTTGAAACTCTTAGTAAAATAAGAGAGAAATATTCATTTATTTCCTAAAAAGTCAGATGGTACAGGCCTGCCAATGACGGAAATTAAAAATCTTGGCTAACCTATTTTTTATGCTAAAGGGAAAACATTTGGTTAACAGTAGTTACAGCAAATTTCTTAGCAGATATAGGCTACTTTGTGCAACAAGATGAGTCAGAATAGCACATACCTTTATCTATAATTTACTTTCTGTCCCATAATCCCTCCCCTTTTAGCTCTTTTTTGGTCGCTACCAACTCCTGATTTCAAACACAGAGCTCTTAAGTCCAAATGTTCTTAAGCTAGCTGCTAACTCAATTTACCGTTAGCATAAAGAAGAGAAAACAGCTAAGGCTGGATGCATGCTCTCCTGATCCCTCCAAATGAATATTTTGATAAGTACAGCTTTATGGATGAAGAAGAACTACAACTCCCAAAGTGCAATTCAGTTAAAAGTTCCAGAAACAGAGACTGAAATAACATTTCCTCTGCTGGTAATGTCAATTTAAGATCACACAAAGAATCCAACGCTAAATGAGTTCAACATAGATCCTGAATCACCGTCTCGGAATGCTGAATAATTCCAAGGGAAGCCTAGGCTCATGGGTAATGTAGTTTTTAGAGTTATCAGCTATGCAAAGCTATAAATAACCAAGTTTTCTCATAATTTAAGCAATTTCCATTTTGATAGCCATAACATAAGTGTTTTCTATCATTAAATTCTCTACGTATATCCCTGTGGTCTTAATGTCGAGGACTATTGTGGGAAATACGACTTTAAAATTGTTATTATGCAACAATTCTGTGGGTTAACCTTTGTTAATTGTGATGTTTCAAAGAAAAATATACAACATTTGAAATCCCTTAATCCAGTTGGGATGAGAGAGTTGTTAAATGATCACTGAGAAAAAGAAACTAAATACACAGCAGAACAACAAACACTTACTAATATGTTGATAAATCTATTTCTAAATGGACTGAACGGAAGTGATTTGAACCCACACTCTGCAACAATTATCTGACTCAATGCTACGCTTGGTTTGACCTCGACCACATTACACACATACGCACACAAGCACACCCTGCGTGCTGATGTAACCCAGGGCTCAAGGCCATTGAATCGAACATGTTTCTCATTTCCTGTGGCGCAGCGACCATGTATGTCACCCCTCAGACATCCAATAACCCCTCCCTCGTCACACGGTCGATACTTTTGTGCAAACGAGAAGTTCAACAGCCACAGAAAGCAAACTGTGCTCTCCCACTTGTGAGGGGAAAACTGTGAGTGTGTGGCTGGTCAGGAGTCAGAATAATATTTAGATGGCCTCTCTACCATCTTTATAGTTTTTTTTAATTATATAAATTATATAAAATCATAAAAATACAGCCTTCTGTGTAGTAGTTTTATAGATCATGAGATTTCACAAGATGTCTTCTTGTGCTTTTACAGATCGACTACAGAAGTCTAACAGCCTACATTTTCACTCTGCCGTTATATTAATCACCAGATGAAATGAAGGTGACATTGCAAAGAAATTTGATTTTTTAGAAGCTTAGATTTTACCCATTTTAACAACATTTTAACTTTGTTATCTATCCACCATCTAACCTCAAACAAAGAAGACCTAGTTAGAAAAATCCCCCACGTAAGAGCGATAAAAAACAAACAGGTTTCTGTACAAACCCTGATGATTCATGTTTACTGATTAAGAGAATTGTTCTTCTGTGCTTTAAAGGTTTCCTTGCATTTTGAACAAGTGGATCTTGAACTGGATGTGCTAATATCGGCCTATATTATCGGCTATATATATTAATCGGTTGGGCTTTGGGAAACCATCCACAACTATTGTTGTGCTATATGTTGTAGCTACATAACAAGATGACCACTTAGAAGATCCAGCGGGGAACATGTCAGCACAACTCAGCTCAGAAAGTTTCCGTCCATGTTCTCAGTATTGTTTGTTTACTTTCTGTCAGGACTATCAAGATGGTTTAACGTGTGTCAGTGGTGCAAATCAAACTTCAATGAGGTTGAACCCTGCAAGTGTGACAGAGCCTTAGTAGAAATGCAACGATTGGGAAATTCTTGGTGGTCTGAAGTTTGAAATATCAGTTTAGCCGATTGCTAATTCAGATGTTTGTTTCGTAACTTCTTTTGGTGCAAGACTCCCATAATGGCACCATTTTCTCTCATGTTTGTCAACGGCAACAAGTCAGTGTTTGTTCAAAAGGTGACTTCATCAACTCAATAAAACAACTCTTCAGGAGTTAGGTGTACTAGAAGCCAGCATTAAATTGAATTGGCACAACAAATATACATCGGCTACTGACTTCGGATCATGCATCATTATTTGCTGATGTGCCGATGTCTGCCAACAGGGCCAAAATCGTCCGATACCATATTGAAACGATGCATTGGTGCATCCCTAATTATCAGGGGATAAAATAAGCTACTGCCACCAAATGCAGTGTATAGGCTGATCTATGTCGGCTGATTTTATGACAAAATGTTTTGCTTAAAAAGTAAAGTTTAGGTGAAGTTTTGTCAAACTCTGAGCAGCCTGTAGAAATTTAAATCCCCAAATAGTGGCATGTGAGGAAAAAACACCTTATGCATGTATTGAAATGTTAAAACCAAAGTGGTTTTTTTTGCATGGGGTGTGTTGTGGTGCGTCTTACCTCTGTGAACGAGCACCAACGCTGAAGCCCATGTAGCCCTCCTGCGGGAGCGAGTCGTCCCCCAGTTCGCGCAGATCCTGGGGGGCCAGGTATTTGTCTGTATCCCCCGTCATTGCATCATCACCTGGAGGTCATCAACACACAGCCAGAGGGGGGAAAGTTACAGAAAGAAAGCAAGAATCATCTTTCCATTTCTGTAAAAGAGGCGTGACGCTCATTTTTGCTGCTCAAAACTTCTTTGGACTTGGTGAGAAAGTGTAGGAAGAAGTGAAGTAAGGAGTTTGAAGTAAGTCAGAAGTATGATCATGAAGCGGCTTTATTGCGTGCATGACAATCAAAGTGTGCACCAGTTGAGTGATATAAACACCCCTGCCTGCTCACTTGTGGTTATTTTTCATGAGTAGTTCCTGCTGGAAAAGTAGGGCTGAAAAATTCCCCTCATTCGTTCACACATGCAGCTCACTTTGAAAATGTTTGGGAACATTTTCACGAGTTTTGTGCATGTGTGAAAACAGCCCGGGCTGCAATGTTAGCAAAAACAATTGAATATGCTACACATTATTTGATGTGATGAAACATCTTTGCTGGACTTCTGCCTGCAGTAGAAATAAGATATTTTAGAATGCAGATTTGCATTTTTTGGTGTCTGTTGTTCATGCAGACACAGTAGCCCTTTTACACAGACAGATCAATGCAGCTTCTGGCCAGAGGCCTTTTTCCAGTTCAGCTCTGGTCCAACACAACACACACAAACAAAAGTGTTGCTGTCACTGAAAGCTTTTTGTCTCAGTCCCTTGAGGACAAAAAAAAAAAAATGTTAACAAAGCTTGCAAACAACAAATAGTGCTGCCTTCAGTGACTTTGTATGCAAGCTTACTTTAGTAGTGATAAAGAACATGTCATGTAGTTTATCTGTCAGTAGATTCATGTACACACAGATGGTTAAAGTAAATCAAAGCACTTCAAACACAGCAGACATTCACGTCATCACAGAAAATAATAAATTATTGGAGGTCTTGAATAAGTTGTAAAAAAAATATAAAAAAAAGAGTAGAAACATACGTTACAAGCTCAGCAGGAAAACAGAAAGCAGCATGTTATTCCCCTTAGAGGTAGGACTACTGTAGATGTTAGCCTACTGATGAACCGCTGACCGCAGAGTTGAAAGAGAGAAAGTAGAGGAGGGGGGGGGTTAAAAAAAAAAGGGAGGGTGGAGAGAGAGAGGGTAGCAAGTGCATGCGGGCGGAGATACGAAAAAGAGAAAGAAAAAAGACGGCATTCCAGCAACCACAAAGCACCGGAGGGAGACCCCCGCACCACTCCACCCCTCCACCCCTCCTGTCCCCTTATCCCCTGCTGCTACAGCACCCCTCCCCCCCCCGAAACTTTCTCCCTCACACACACACGTATTCCCAAAACACACACACGCACACCCCATCTGGCCACATTCCAGCCCCATTCTCCGGGACCCCTTCTCATTTCAGCACGACTCACCTCCGGCTTTAAAGCACTTCATTCAGCCCCAGAGTCCCGTCTTGCAGGATTTCAACCCGGACTAACTTTTTCCAACTTGTAACCTCCTTTCAACTCGCTGTCGCTCTCTCTCTCTCTCTCTCTCTCCCTCTCTCTCTCCTGCACACACACACACCGTCTATCTCTCCTTCACTGCTCGGCGCTCACACAAACAGATCCGCTTTCTCCCGCCTACCAAACCCTGCTGCAGGATTATCCAGATAGTGTGTGTGTGTGTGTGTGTGTGTGTGTGTGTGTGTGTGTGTGTGTGTGTGTGTGTGTGTGTGTGTGAGACACCTAGCGCTCCAGGACAGAAATAGTAAGTGGGTGTGACTGAGTTGTCTAACATCAAATCTCTGCAGTGTCTTTATAGAGTGTTCAGTCAGAGGTGAAAAGAAATAAAGTAAAGATCTTCAATAGAGATTTCAGGTATTTATAATTTACCTGGGGATTATTTTTACAGCAACTCTTTACTTTACCTCGCTTCGTTTTCACCTCAGGTTGAAATGTGGAACCAATGCAGAGGTGCAGAAAACTGCAGTTCTTTTATTGACCACTTGAGGCTGACTGCAAAAGACCCAGAAGTCACATACACACCCATTCAAAAAAGCCAATTTTCACAGCAAAAATAAAAAAATGTCTACAGCCTGAGTATGTTCTGAATAACTCATTTGCTTATCGGCAAAAACAGTAGGGTGGGTTAATTTTTTTAAAACATATATTTTGATTTTAATGAAGGATAAAAGTTATTCCTAATTAGGGGCGTGGCTTAACCTCACAATTATTTAAACCGCACCTTTAATGTTTGCACTGACTGTTATTTAATGTCTTCTTTTTAAACATTGCTGAACATATATAAACAACACAACTTCAGGAGGTCAACACTTTTTTTATTTTTTATATTCAGGTCTAATTACAGATTTTATTCCTCAACTGTTTTTAGGTTCTTGCTTTAAATTGCACATATGTTTTTATCCCTGCATGGGTTGTGTACATTTCTTGTATGAGTTAAATTGCACAGTTTAAGTTTGATTCATCTAGAGGATTCTTTAAATCTTTATTTCGGGTTAATATATATGTATGGGAGGGGGGGGCGTCGGTTTTGTGGATAATTTGTAACAAATGTTTCGTGTCATGTCTTTGTAACCTGCTACTGGATGCTTTGAATTTCCCTCGGGATCAATAAAGTATCTATCTATCTTATCTGACTGAGCGGCAGGCACATGGTAGCTGTTGGTCGGGAGGTTTATGACATGCCTAAGCTCTTTTCCTGTTACTACTGTAGGCTGACCAAAAGACCGTATTTCCAACATGTCGACCACCAACCATGGGCTTCAAAAGTCATTAATGTGGACTTAATCTGGACTTTTTCCCACAAGAAAGTTCATTTCTACATCCATGTTCATTTGTTGATAGTGAGAGAAAACATCTTAAAACAGGTAGCCTTGATATAAAGGCAAAAACTCTCTTTTAAACGTCTGAAATCCTGAGTCAAGAATAAAAAAAAAAAAAAGGAAATTTTTTAAATCAAAGTCATGTCCTGCCTCCTGATAAGACAAGAAACAGTATGGGTAGCGGCGCAGATGGCCTAGCGAGTGGGTCGCGTCTACATGTACGGAGGCTAATAGTCCTCCAAGTGGATGGCCCGGCTCCAAGTCGGACCTGTGGCCTCCTTTCCTGCATGGCATTCCCCCAATTTCTCTCCTAATCAATCCTCTGTCCAGTCAAATAAAGGCATAAAAGCCCGAAAAAAAATCTTTAAAAAAAAATTAAAAGTCTGGGTAACGATGGGGTGAAAATGTTGTCGTTTATTTGCACACATGCAGCTCAAACAGAAAACTTTGGGACATTTTGAGGAGCGCAGCGAAAGTTTATCATCTTATCTCCCTCCTCATTCCTCTACCTATAACCAGCATGTTTATCTCTCCATCTTCTAAATAGCACAAATTCTTTGTCTTCAGTACTTTCACGCGTTGCTTCATGCTCTTTGTCTTTCTCTGTGTTTTTTTTAAAGAAAACTCACTCCTCCAGCTACTTCCGTGTGTCTGCTCACATCTCTAACAGTCAACTGTCACATCAAGAGAGAGAGAGAAGTGATGGCAGGAATTCATAACTCTGCATCCTTAAAAAAAAAAAAAACAGCTCCACTTAGATTTGACGCTTTCTGTCTTCTTGTCTTTGTGTTGTTACCAGCAGCTGTGAGATCCTGATGTTCTCAGTATATGATAAACTCAAAATTAACATAACATGGACTTAAAATAACCTTTGAAAGCTGAACTCAACGAGTCCAAAACATTTTCAGTTGATGTATTTTTGCAGTGACTGTGCAGGAGCTTGCATGCAAATGTTTGAGTTTGGTATTTTAAATTGTTCACTTTAACATATTTCTTCTTTTTGGGTAATTAAAACATTGAGCAACAGTAATGATGTCATCGGATTGTGTTGTAAAGTAGATGTGATTGGTGAAGTCTAACATATTATTAGTCCAAAAATAAAAGCATTAGCATTGAATCATCGTACAGTGCTCTGATGAGGGTTTGTTTTACAGTTGCTTTCTTTATTTTTTATAAACGACGACTGGTGTTGTATTTAGAGCTGGAAATGTCAAAGCTTCAGAAATGAATGAAGAGCGATGAAATGCAAACACAAGACAGATTATTGGAGCTTTGCTTAAAAACAACACGGGAAAGAAATGATTTACAACAACAGTGATAATCAAGACCAAAGCTTTGCATCATGTCTGCCTTTATGTGGTCACTATATCGCTGCCTTATACATGTTTTAGTTTACTTCTAATTCAGATTTAATATCCATGCTGACCAAATATGAATTTACTTTATAACTTTGGAAAAGAACTGAAAAATCTGCTGCAGCTTCCTAAACTCTGCACAGAGTTTGTGTTTGTCCTGATTTAGAAACATGGACTGTGTGTGTGTTATTGGAGATGTTAATCATTGCTGCTACTCAGCCGGTATGTGTGCTGGTATGTGTGTGTGTGTGTGTGTGTGTGTGTGTGTGTGTGATACTGTGTGTACATGGAGTTTCACTAGATTTATTTTTAGATGAGGAATGAAAGATGGACGCTCTACGAGAGCTCTGCAATAACATCAACACCATCAACAAATGCAGCATGAGGTTCAAACATGCACACAAATATATGCATAAAAACAGCTGATAATTCACACACACAAACACACACACACACACACACACACACACACACACACACACACAGTTTAGTTGCATCAGTTTAGCTGCACCACTTCAAACTGGTTATTAGAGTTAGTCACAGCATGATCTTCGACTTTTGGACTTACAGGAATAGCTGATGCAGATATTTCCAACATCCATCTCTGTTTGAACAAAGCACAACCATTTTTTAACTCTTTGGAAAATCTTCCATATTTCAAACATCATGCATACGGAGAGTGAGTGTCTGAGACAGGATTCTGCAGAAAACGCAAAAAGAGCCTGTGAGCATTTCTTTATGAAATCTAATTTCATTTTTAATAAACTTTTAAATGCTGAGTTCACATGGAGTCATGCTGACAGCAAATCAGATTTCATTTCAGTCATTTATAATATTATAGAAGGATATTTTTTCTTGGGGGAAGAATGTGCGACTTTGTGATCCAGTAGATGTCGCCCTTGAGCACCAGCTTGAAACCAAAACAAACTGACGACACCTCCGCTCTCCTCCAGAGACACACCTCCAACCCCTCCACACTCGCCTTAGCTCGAGTTATGAACCAGAATCGACCATAATTAGGCACCATTAAGCGCAAGCAGTGGACAAAATCGTCCTTTACTCGAGCTGCAATCACCTGTGGCCTGCATTGTTGTGTTAGCATGCTAATGTTAGCACACTTCAGTTAACTCATAGCTTCATATTTGACATAAATTGACACAGAATCGCAGCGATCTCAAGACACTTATGTGACATAGAAAAAGCAGTGAGTATGTTCCTCTTCTTTTCTCTAGTCCTTGACTTTAACAGCTTTTGATGTAAACACAGCTCCAACAACAATACAGCCAGAGGAACTTCTACTCTGTCCTTAATTCATGGGACTGACCTTTACGTCATGACACTACAGAGTCCATTCTCCTCTCTGTAGAGATCTGTGTTTGCCTTATTTTACATACACATCCTGTTTAATACACATGACAGAAGCCCACCTGAGGATGTCACGATATCAGTAAATGTTGGTCTTTGCAGACTGCTGCAGGAGCTGAAACATGTGACTACATAAAAAAAGAAGATTACGCTTTAACGTCAAAGCAAACACCAGAGGGCAGATATGAGCCGACAGAAAATGAAACAATCTATGAGTTGAGAAATCTCAGCGGATGGTTTTGCAGTTTTCATCCTACCATCTCAATTGTGACAATCAGTTCAAGTTCAGCCAACACTAGAGACAATACACAAAGCAAACACACACACACACACACACACACACACTCCAACAGCAGCTGACACCATGTTTGCTTTGGCCTGAATGTGTGAAACTACAATGAAAGCGCCACCGACACAAACCCCCAGAACACAAAGGGATCGAGTGTGTGTGCGCGCCGCTTCTCCTCAGCGTGAAAAGAAATCTGTTACCCACTCCACAACGCCATATGCAGACTGTTGGCATGGCAACCAGGAGGTGGACATATTTGCTGCATTTTGGTGCATGGAAAATTTACAAGAAGGACTTAGGAGAACGCAGCGGGAGAGAGTCGAAGTGGGGAGCAGCAGCCGAGGAAGAGCGTGATGATAGAATATATACAGGACGAGGAAAATAAAATCCTCTCTTGGATGCATTTTCAACATGTTTTTTTATCTGTTTACAATAAAGTGATGTTCAAAATGAAGCTTGAAACCATTGGAGCAGAGTTAGTGGATGCAGAGGTTTAGAAATGTAAAGAACAGAGACAAAATAGTTTAAAAGGAGAGAAAATAACTTAAGAAATGTCAAAAATACCTTCTTCCACATCAGATATATAGTCCTCTGTGATCATTTCGGGGACATTGGCTTTACAGACTGTGTGATTGGGATGGAGGAGAAAGTTAGAGGGGAAAAACGAACAAAAAATTCATGGCAAAAAACATAACTCCAACAAAATCAGAGCCAAAGAAAAATATAAAAATGTGAATTTAAGGGGATTTTTTACTTTTAGCGGTTGTAATTTGACCTTTTTGGGGACAAAGATTGCAAACAAGGATTGTAGTTTACATAGCAGGTGATGAAACCAAAAGAAATAAGTTAATGATGGAAAAAGCAACACGCTTGCTTTTTGAAAACTCTGCAGCAGCCTCAACTTGATAACAGTTTGCAGTAGTGTCGTCATCGAGAACAACATGGATCTCCTTCGTTTGCAATCAGAAGCCGTCACCTGAGATGTCAGAGAGTCGGGCCTGATTCTGTCCCTGATGACAGGATGTGAAGTTACGAGGAGAGTTGTGAGATAACGCTGTCAAAACGAATCCTTACCTTCATCGTCGGACATGTCCAACACCTCGTTCATGGTCTCTGGAACGTTCATCTTGTGCTTCTCCATCACAGTCTGCAGAACAACACACACACACATCTTTAATAAAGTGTAAATGTGAGACAGACTCTCCACTTTGACATCTCCAACAGGGGTCAATCAATCCAGAACAGATTCAATCAAAGCTTTCTTCTTCACATACATGTATTACCCTGGAGGAACCAGGAGGATAAAACAAAGAAGAAAAGGAGTGACCTGTACTGTGGGGGTTTATATGGTCAATTAGAGCGGTTATCGTTTATTGAGGACGACTTTCAAGTCAACAAGGTTTCTTTATTTAAAACTGCCTTCATTCATAACTACCACACATCAAGAAGGCCGTCGTTTTGATGAGTACGAGTCTTCTGTGAATATGATTTAACACTTCCTGCAGATGTTTCTCTTTAAAAACAAACCTGGAATAAGAGGGAATGTTTTGCTTGAAGGGTTTTAAAGTACCACTGGGCACCAGCTCAACTAGGAACACAAAAAAAACAGTAAACTAAACCTACTCTCTGCATCGGTCTGTAAACATTTCTGCGTTCTAACCTCTCTCCATTTTTCAAAAGCATCCCCGATATTGATCCTTAGTTTGACCACATGAGAGCTAATGAGAGCCACTCGTGTTTAAACACACTCACTGTCAGACACACACACACACACACTCGTACCTGAGTGGTGAGAGTTTCCTCCGTGACCACTTTGAGTGTGTCGACCACAGAGATGTATCCGAGCCTCCGGGCGATCGACAGAGCGCTGTTCCCATTCTGGAAAAAAGAAAGAAAGAAAGAAAGCAATAACAGACGTAAGTGGACGGTTTGTGTCATGAAGGAAAAGATCATTCTTTGGTCAGGGTCTAACAGACACGTTATCACATCATATTCAACGTGTGTTATGGCACAGTTTGGAGACAGAGAAACAGCTTCAGAGTTAATGAGCTCAAATCTGATTCTCTGTGCACAAACCCACAGAGCGCTGTTACTGTTTAGAGAAATAATTAAATAAAAGCTCAGTGATTGATTTGTGTTCTTTCTGCTCTTCTGAGGATCATCTTTATGAATGCACAAAACCAAATTTAATCACAGCAATCTGTCATTGTGAGTTTGTTTTGTATTGTTGGTACAATATTGAAAAGCTGTCAACAATCAATCTTGTATGTGCTGTGTGTGTGTGTGTGTGTGTGTGCGTGTGTGTGTACTGACAGCTGTGAGCTCATTGGGCGACGCTCCGTGATGTAGCAGCAGGTTGATGATGTGCGTGTGTCCCTGCTGTGCGGCCTGATGGAGAGGTGTGTAACCGTTCTGCAGAGGACAAAAAAAAAACAGAGGAAGGAGTCAAGAGATTTAAAAAAAATAAAAAATAAAAAATCCTACACAGAGAGTTAAACTGTTACCTTCGTCTTGGCGTTGACCTTTGCCTGATTTTTCAGCAGGAAGTTGACCATCTTAACGTTGCCATAGTGACAGGCGACATGGAGAGGAGTGTATCCCAGCTGAGGATCAGAAAAAAACCATGTGTGTTTAGCAAAGAGTCACGGGGGATACAAACAGCTTGTTTGCTTGATCAGAGACTTTAGACACTTTGACCCTGAATCTAAGACATGACACATGAGTTGTTTCACCTTGGTCTCAGGGTCGACCGTTGCTCCCTGGTTGACTAAGACCTCAGCCACGTTGACTTTATCCTCCTGTGCGGCCAAGTGGAGCGGAGTCAGACCAGACTGAGGATAAAGAGAGACAGAAAACATTAACATGCAGAGACAGAAGTAAACATGTAGATACAGAGACAAACAGAAAGACTTAAAGGTCACATGTTCTGCAAAGTAAACTTCACCATGTTGTTCAAACACTAATGTGTCTCTAGTCTGTCGACAATGATGAGAAAAGTCAATCCTCTCCGTCTTTTGCCTGCTCCACTTTTCAGAAAATGTGTGCTCAAACAGGCCGTTTGGAGATTTTCCCTTCATGACATCACAAAGGGCAGTAGCCCCTCCCCCAGGTGGGTGACACTCCCACAGCTAGGTGTTTGTTCTGAACCTCTGAGTCTGCCTTCTCACCGTAAACAATAGGGTATGGTGCAAGAAATCCTGAGCCACATCGCCTTCCAGAGAGGGGGCGTGGTCAGACACAGCTCATTTACATATTTAAAGGTACAGAAACAGCCTGATCTGAGCAGGGCTGAAATAGAGGGGTTTATAGGCATGATCAAATACAGGATCAGAGTGGATTTGGAACAAGAAACTTCACACACATGTTTTGAGGAGCTCTGAGACTTATTTAAACTGGTTGAAAAGGATTTTAATATGTGACCTTTAAAGTTAAGTTTAAACTATAAATATGACGCTGTGATAACCATGTCCGCCTGTAACTAGCAGCAGCGGGGTTTTTACACGCTGACGTCACACCTTATTTCCCATGTTTATTGGAGCATCTCGAGCCAGCAGCAGCGTCACGATGTCCACGTTTCCTTCCTGAGCGGCGAGGTGCAGAGGAGTGATTCCCTGGCGTGTAACTGTGTTTGTTGAGGCGCCGTACTCCAGCAGCGTGGTGGCGATATCCATCTGATTCTTCTTGGCTGCGATGTGGAGCGGTGTGTAACCGTTCTGCACACGACAACAAACAGAGAAGAGCGTTTGAATGTGTGTGTGATCTCACAACAGCAGAATCTATGAGTAGAAACTAATAGACGATATATAGAAATACAAACATAGATTTGATTGTCCAATTTCATTTTAAAGAAATTATAGAGCTTCATGTTTTTTTGTTTATTGCATCTTTCAGCACAATCGTCTTTATGTCAACATTTTGCTGATGTTAGTGTTTCCATCTATAGAAACAGATATATCCACAAAGATTCTTTACAGTAACAAATAAGCTTATATGTCGAGTTTTATCGCCTGAAAACACAGTTTCCACATATTCAATATGCTATCAGCGAACGGAACTAATTAGGGGCCGGCTAATTTCAGCGTCAGCTCCTTCTGGATAAATGCTGTCGGAGTGGAAGGGGCAACAAACCAGCCAATCACAACGCTCCACTCAGCCTGTTCAATATGTGGGTGACTGAAAAGTAGGTCAGCCTGCTCTCACCCAGATAGAGAGAGAGAGAGAGAGAGAGAGAGAGAGAAGGGAGAGAGAAACAGAGAGAGTGAGAGAGAGAGCGTACAGAAAGAGAGAGAGAGATCAGAGATAAGGGGAGAGAGAGAGAGGGAGGAAGGGAGCGAAAGAGAGAGAAAGAGAGAGAAAGAGAGAGAAAGAGAGTGAGAGAGAAAGAGCAGCGAGAGAGAGAGAGAGAGAGAGATAACAGAGAAAGAGAGAAAGAGAGAGAAAGAGAGAGAAAGAGAGAGAAAGAGGGATTTTGCTGCATTCATACATTCATTCAGAAACATTGGATAAAAACCACGTCACTCGTCTCTTACCTTCGCAGCAGCATGCGGTGAGGCTCCCTGATTGAGCAAGAGCAGCGCCACCTTCTGGTTATCATAGTGAGCTGCCACATGCAGTGGAGTTAGTCCACTCTGAACACACACACACACACACACACACACACACACACACACACACACACACACAATGTCAGGTGGTGATAAAAAACATAAAGGTGAGTGCAGCACGAGTAGAGTATAAAGAGAATACAGTGAAGCTTTTAGTGGAGCTGCAAAAACAAACATGTGAGCAGCTGATAGAGGGCACAGCGGGTGCATGTTATAAAATTAAGAAGATTGATTTATTGTGACCTTATTGTAAGTTATTTTATAATTAAGGGGTTCAAGTCAACCAAAGGCTTTGTAATCATTAGCTAGTTTCAAACTTAATCAGCTTCAAGATGTAAAAGTCGTCGCGAAGGCATGAGGCCAATCAGCGATCAAAAACAGAGTTTCATCATCATGGTAACGATGCTCATTAGCTTTCTGGCCCGCATGAACCACTTGGCATCCTATGCTCTGTTGTAAGCTAGATAAATGATGAAATACTGAACCAATTAAAACATCTCTGTGTTGCAATTCCTGGAAAAACGTATGCTAAGCTGCAGAAAAATATGGACATTTTATTATGTACATCCAACCTCGGTGCATGTGTGATTTTTAGCTGCCACTTCATCTTGTACATTAGCTCCACGGTGCAACAGCTTTGATTAATTAAAGCATCAACCTCAAACTTTTGTTGATACGTCGCAACATTTGGACGCAGCCAAGAAGCAGCCATCACAACAGCCTGCAGAGCTCCATTTCGGTGCTCACACGCCTTCTTTCTGTCTCTTTCTCTAACACAATCCGCGCTGAAGCGTGCGTTACCTTCCCGGCAGCATCGGGCGGAGCGTTTTTCTGCAGCAGCAGGTTGGCGACCTCCATTTTGCCGTATTTTGCCGCCACATGCAAAGGAGTGAAGCCCTTCTGTAGAGAGAAAAACAAACAGGCAAACGATTAAGAAAAGCTTCAGTTAATACAATGTCTCTCGATGTTTTAAACAATGCTGCTGAACAAAAAGCACATGTGGTTAATCTCTAATGTTGGAGTCACTTTCAGAGTTGGGTCACAACATGAGAAAGTGATTATTTGGCGCTTCAACGATGACACACGATGAGGGATCAAGGGTGCGGAGAGAGGAGTTGTGTTGTTTATGTTACATCAGATTCTTCAGCTATGAGGCAACACTGATCCGTGACTGTGGTTCAAAACCCTGTGTGTGTGTTAGTGTGTGTACATTGTATGTGTGTGTCTTTGTATGCATACAGAGGTGACTCATATATATGATTTTTTTTTTAAAGTTGTTTTTTGGGCCTTTCTGCCTTTTTTTTAGTTTTAGATAGGACAGCTGAAGAGAGACAGGAAGTGTTGGGAGGAGAGAGAGTAGGGGATGACATGCACCAAAAGGGCCGAGATCGGATTTGAACCCACGGCCGCTGTGACGAGGACGACAGCCTCTGTACACGACGCCCACGACATAACCGCTAGGCTACTACAGGCGGCCCCAAATAGATATGAAATTTGATGGATCCAGATCGGTTTACTAGTTCAAGAATATAGAATATATCTTTATTGTCATTGCTATGAAAACAAAGAAAAACAGTTTAGCAGCTCCTGTCATTCGCAGCACACACAGATGGACGGTAAGACTGATTACGTAAAGACAAACAAAAATCACATCATAAGAAACAAACAGTAGAAAGGCTCTGGAAAAGTGCAAATGGTGCAGAGCAGACCCCTGAATTCCTGCAAAATTCATCTATACCCATGAAGGAAGAGGATGGAGGTGCTGATACCTGACTACACATAGAAAATGTGATTTTTTTTCTCTATTTGTTTTGGCTTTAATTTAGGACACTTTAGGTCATTTCGTCCATCTTTTTTTTAGACTATGGGAAAAAACAATTAATCAAAAAGGGGCTTAATATGTGGTGAATAAACGTATTCAACAATTCTTCTCATTTCCGTAAATATCAAAAGTACCGGGTCAGTTTAGAATCAGTCTGACCTCTAAGAGTTGCACATCTGCTCCATGACGCACAGTTTGTGTTCCTGCCTGTTGCCGAACCTTAAGTGAGTCCCGGACTGAAGAACACGAGTTACAGTTGACGGCGTGCCAGCAGGGAGAGCCGGGTCAGAACCTGCCTTTCTCTGGAGTCTGAATAAAATGTTCCTGAAAAAAACTTCTCTCCGCGCTCGTTTACTCGTTTCATAACATCCAGTCAAAACTGTAATGATGCGTTTAATGACCAATGAATTTCAACACAGAGGAAAGCCCCTTCAAGTCCAAATACAGTCGCAGCGAGGAGATGTTTCCAGGTAGTTTTCAGCTGTGGATACCAGGAAATCAAATAAAGGGACAGTTTCTTTATCTTTCATCTCTTAAAGGGATAACACTCAACTTTTAGAGTAGATGTCCAGCAGAGGTCGCACTTTAGCACCAGTCTCTCAAACCAAAACAAAGCTGTCCCTTCAAGGCACCGCTTCCCCTCCTCCCAAAATAAGCAGCCAAAGATGATTCAGTTCTTATTTCTTTGGAGTATTTTAGGGGGAATAATACAGCGTAGGTCCTGAAGGTGCTCACATGTTATTGATGTCGACACCAGCAAACCAAACTGATCTTAAGCTAGCAAAGCCAAATCCCCCGCTTGTTTTAACAAAATAATATTTAATAAACTTTGATTTTCATGATTTATTTCAAAGGTAATTAATCAATTTCTTTATAAGGAAGGTAGATTGTTTCGCCTTCTGAAAGGTTGAATAACAGATGAAAGCGTTACTGCACGCATCAACACGCAAACATGACAACATTAAGCACGTTAAAGGCTTTATATGCGATTTTTTTGATCCAGCAGATGTCGCCCTTAAGCACCAGCATGAAACCAAAACAACTCGCGCTGCATTGTTGTGTTAGCATGCTAATGCTAGCGATCTTTACTATGCTTGTATCTTCACACTGCATGTAAATTTACCTGAAATGAGCGTGATCTAGAAACACAGTTAAGCAGTGAGTACAGTATGTTATTCTTCTTTTCTCTAGTCCCTCAATTAAACAACTTTTATACACGAGGGGAGGAGTCAGCCAGCCGTCCTGGCGACGTAAACAAAGTGAAGATAGGACTCTGAAAACTCTGAAAACATCACAGACAGTGGGACTCGGGTGTTACACCCATTGTAGACAGTCATGACTCACAGAGTTATTTTCAGAGGATATACTTGATTTGACTTTAACATCATGTTGTAGTTACCTTGGTAATGATGCCCAGACTGGCTCCTTGGTCCAGCAGAATAGCAGCCAGGTCTCTGTGTCCCTCCCTGGCAGCCAGGTGTAGAGGCGTGTATCCAGAGCTGGTCGTGGCGTCTGGGAACGCTCCGTTTCCCAGCAGCTGGTGGACGATGTCCTGCTTACCGAGGCGGCTGGAGATGTGCAGCGGAGTCTGGTCGTCCTGTCAACGACAATCAAGACGAATATTTAAATCAAAACCGAGACAACACAGCGGTACCTTTTGTAAACACAGGGAAACAATTATCAGGTTTTTTTTAATGCATATTAAGTACGATTGGTAAGGAACCCCCGGAAACTGAAAAAGTCCAAAAATAATATCTCATGTGCACAAGCTTCCTTATATATTTATTTTTTCTTTCATCTTTGCTGCTCTTTTTTGACTTTGAAAATCCTCCCCCGGGGATGAATAAAGTTTTTTTTAATTGAATTCTTGTTATTAAAGATGAGAGATATTACAAAACTCATGCATATTTCACATCACTTGATATTTAAAACGATTTCATAAGAAGGAGGCTTTCTGTCTCTTCTTATTAAAGACCTGTGAGATGTATTCTTTGAGAAATGGTGAACTTTGAAGATGCAGATGCTTGTTGCATGAGAAGAAGAAGTTTGAAACGAGCATCCTGTCCTAACGTCCCTGATGGATTCATATCTACAGTGAGAACATGAGCACAAAGTGGTTCTGCCCTGTAATCACTCAATCAGACACGTTGCAGAGACACGACCGCAGTCAGACGCCACTCATGTGGATTACTGTGTCAGAAAAATGAAGCAGGCAGAAATACACAAAACAATAAATCTGACTCTGAACGGTTTCCATCTGATTTCTATTTTTAAAGAAATCGTCACGTGCGGTCTACCTTGGCTTTTGCATCCACTCTCGCTCCATTCTGGATCAGATACCGGACCACGTTGGACTGACCGGCCCGCGCTGCCATGTGGAGCGCTGTCTCTCCTCTCTGGACACACACACACACAAAAACCACACACAAACACACACACACACAGGAAACAGGGATTAAAAGTGATCCTGAATTGTTTTTTCTTTGTAAAAAAGCAAAAAGGGAACTTAAAGGAACTCCGACTTTCTGTTCAAAGTAGAGAGATAAAAAAGAGAGAGAGAGAGAGAGAGAGACCCCCTCGCTCTCCACACCCCGCTCACCACAATGACGTCCCATAATACTCAGTTTCTACGGTAACCTGGCCACAGACGCAGCGTGGGCGACCAAATACTTTGGGGTTGAAGAGTTTACTGCAGAACTCCCTCCTCTTCCACCTCTCTGTTTGCTCTTCACTCTGTTCTTCTCTTTCAGCCCTTCCTCCCAAACATCCCTCCCTCTTCTCTTTGTTCATCTTTATTTTCAAACGTGATTTAAGAGTTAACAGCGGTCAGTAAGAAGAGTACTGATGGACAAGATGGACATTTCCTTACATAAACTGGGAGAGTTTTCTTCCTTCTGTCTGAACTGCAGATGATTGAAAGTCTCTTTTAAGGTAATTTTTATGTAAAAAATAATGATGCATAGAGTAACACAACACGGAGATTCTCAGTTAAAGTACATCAAAATTCTACTTAATTACACGCGTCATGTTTTACTCCTTTTTTTAAAATAAAGAAAGGAGATGTTAAAATTGTATTTTCTGTTTCTGAACTTTTATGGACTGTTTTTTTTAATTTCTGTGAAGTCCTTTGAGTTTATGAAACGTGCCAAACACATAAAAAAAAGTGATTCCCTCTCATAATTTATTTCTGCTACAGAAGATTCTCTATTTAATTCTTTTCACCAAATGTATTCTTCAAAATGTCTTTCATCTTAAAGAAAGAGTCAGAAGCTGTTCCCATGAGAATAAAATATAGACATCAATCATCACTTCTGGGCCTCCATACATGTGTGGTGGTGAGTGTGTCTGCAGAGACTCTGTCCTCTGACTGGATTCTCATGTTTTAGTTGACTCCGGACGTTTCTTGGCGGGGAGATGGTGTGTTTCCTCCGGCCAATGACAGCACAGCAGGTGAGATTAGGACTCGATACAATTCAGCGATTGCACGCGAGTGTGTGTTTCCTGTTTGAATGTTGTGTTTACAAGCTGCTGCAACGAAAATGCTACTCCACCTTTAACTAAAATCTATAATGTAGTTCTTTTACTCCTTCAGGGTGAACTGCATGCGTGAACACAAAAGGCTGACTTTTTCACCCCGACATGGCAGTGCCCCCGAGTACATTTTCCGAGTTTCCATATTGACAGTCTTTTGTGCGAAGAAGAAGAAGAAGAAGAAGAAGAAGAAAGAGGAGTAGAAAGATAAGAAAGAACCAGTGACATCATAACGGAGGAACTTCCTGAACTCACCACGTTGCTGGTGTTTGGTGAAGCCCCGTGGTGGATCAGCTGGTGCACGATGTTGTCGTGTCCCATAAAAGCTGCGACGTGGATCGGAGTCAGACCGGACTGTACACAGAGGAGAAGGTGGGGGAAAAAGTGAATTCATTTACAGATGAATTTAAAATAATAAAACCAGATATTGGTTTCAGCGTTGGTTCTTAATAACCATGCGTCCATCATCTTGACAGCTTTTCCCGACCTGTGTCGCTGGCTGCTGGAGCCGAGCCCAGCTGTCATCGGGCGAGAGGCGGGGTTACACCCTGGACTGATCGCCAGTCAATCACAGATCTGACACCCAGAGACAGACAACCAGCCACAATCACATTCACACCTACAGGACAATTTAGAGTCACCAGTTAACCTAAAGATGACTCTGCACTGTGGGAGGAAGCCGGGGAGAACTCCACACAGAGATGCGACGCTCTGAAGGAAAAAAAAACAAAAAACATCCTGGTTGAACGAGTTCTTCCTGAGTGGGGCATGTGCAACCACCCATATAGCTGCACCTCCAGCGGTCCTGTTTGTTTGTTTGTGGCTGTGTTTAAGTTAAGGAGGAGGCGGAGCTACACCATGAAGAATCCCATAAACCAGGCAGACATTTTTTGTATCTGATAAGTTTTCCCCCAAATAATCAGAGTGCACTTCTTTAGGATGTGGCTCTGATGAAAACTGAATGGTTGTTTGTCTAAAGTTGTGAGTGCTTGTTGAAATAATGATTCCAGTGGTTTAAGGGATGAAGATTTTAGGGATGAAGATTGTGACATACTTATGTATTAAAGTACTCTTTTCCCAGAAATGGTTAAAAAATGTACGCTCCTAAAATGAATGTAAAAATGTTTCAGTTTCCGCCTGACAATCCAAACGTTGATTAAAGGTCATCGAGCCCATCCTGTCGAGCAGAGAAGACGTAATCGTTCTGAGTCTCCACAACTTTGATGAGTTCAACCAGGACGAGTTCACAGAGGACACAAAGAGAGACACAGCAGCTTTGATTGGCTGTAAGAACTGATGAACTCGAACACACACACACACACACACACACACACACACACACACACACACACACACACACACACACACACACACACACACACACACTCCTACCTCTGTGACAGCCTGTATAGACGCTCCGTGCTTCAGAAGCAGCTCCATCACCTTGACTCTGTTTTTCTTGCAGGCAATGTGCAGAGGAGTGAAACCATTCTAAATAAAAAAAACACAAATCAATACACAAACATAAACATTTCTGAGAGTCCAAAAAAAAGAAGAAATGGTCCAAACACTTTCTGAGTGTGTGTTTCTTTGTAGGGTCTTTGCAGCGCTGGAGCTTGGAGAAAAAAAACCCTGGAAAGCCGTATGGAAAATACAGTACGGCACTACCAGGAGGGGGGGACGACTTCTTTTCTTTTTCTCCCCGTTTCTTTCTTTCTTTTTAACCCTTCAGCAAACCAGACAAGCATGTGTGGAAATAATTGACTCAACCAAAAGCTGTAAAAAAAAAAAAAAAAAAGTGTGCTGCACTGAAATAGACACTTTTTCTTTACAACACAAACTCTCCTCCCCCTCCCTCTCTCTCTCTCCTCCCTCCTCTTGCCTCACTTTGAGGTTTCTGGCTCCTATGACTTCATTTTCCTCTCCATGTCCTTTTTTTTCCCTTCTTATAATCTCTCTCTATAAAGTCCCGAGAGCTCTCACCACACCCAGGCGTCTCCTCTTACAGAGCAGAGATGGTCGTCTTACACCAAGACAACCGTCGGCTTTATGAAATCTATAGCAGTCTGTTTGTTTCCTCCATTCATATCCTTCACTTCTGTCCTTCTCCTCTTCTTTCCTTTAAGTCCCTTACTTCTCTTTCTCTGTTTACAACAAAGAGAGGGTTAAAAAGAAGGAGTAAAGATGGAGGTAAGAGAGGAAATTAAAGACTTGGGAGGATGAAATCATCAAGACCTGATTGCAGCTTTCCACAAACACAACCTGTTTTTATATAAAGGTCCAGGTTTCAGGATATGAAATCTTTCACAGGAAAGCTAGATCGCACCAGAGCAGGGTTTTATTTTTTAGCTTGTACTCTAAATCACCAACTCCTTGAAAAATCACGACCAAAATATATTAAGATGTTTTTTGGGCCATTTTTACCTCCATCAAATCGGACATCTGAAGAGAGACAGGAAATGTCGGGAGGAGAGAGTTGGGGATGACATGCTTTAATGGGCAGAGGATGGATTCAAACCCTCGGCTGCTGCTGCGGCAAGGACTGTAGCCTCCGTACGTGTGGCACACAACATAACCGCTAGGCTATCCGATCGCCCAAGCGACCCAAATTCTGAACGATTTATTTAATGATCATTTTGAAAAAGTTTGGACCTCAGACGGTGCAAAGAAAAAGACCAAAACTAACATGTTTAAACACAATCTTTTTTTTTCCATGCACAACTTCACGACCCACAAATAATGGCTATGCGACCATCTGTTGGCACCCGAACCTCCTGTTGGGAACCACTGCTCTAATTTAACTAGTTGTGTTTGTGTATGGCTTATGAGTCTTGGAGAATTTTGGAAAGTGTCCCAAAAATGTACAGTTTTTTTTTAATTGAACACGTAAATCAAAAGTAGGGACAACATTTAGAGTTTAGCAGCATTGGAATTGGAACTATTTTGTATTGTTAGTTGAAAATCATCTCAGCGTTACGAAAGAAAGAGTCTCTCCTCTTACCAGAGCCTTAGCGTTGGGGTTGGCCTTCTTGTCCACGATCACCTTGGCCACCTTGTAGTGTCCGCAGTGTGCGGCCACGTGCAGCGCCGTCAGGTAGTCGTTGGTCACGTCGTCCACAGGCACCTCGTGGTGCAGCAGCAGCTGGACGCAGTTCAGGTGGTCGCCCTGCGTCGCCATGTGGAGCGGAGACAAGCCGTTCTGGAAGAAACAAAGAAGAAGACAAAAGACATACGTAAATAAGTTTAAATGGATTCTAAAGAGTCAAACTGGACTTTTAATGAGGAAGAAATGGGAGTAAATTCACTGTTTTAAGAGCAGAGTGAGAGAGCACACAGTAAATGTTACACAGCAGATAAAGGAGGGTGAGAGAGAAACACAGGCTGGAGGTGTACCTTTGTCTTGGACAGTATCGGAGCTCCTCTGTCCAGCAGCATCTCCACCACCTGCTCATGGCCGCTCCTCGCTCCGCAGTGCAGAGGAGTCAGACCGTCCTGTGGAGAGAAAAAAGACTGGGTCACTTTATGAACTTCCAACCTTTATCAACAGTGTCCTTAAGCAACGAGATCCTGATTTTGACATCTCAGAGCTCAATATATGGGTAAGTTATGAGCCTGTATCTGAAGTAAAAATTGAGATGGCTTAACTCATCTGCTGCTTTTTAAAGTATTTTTAGATCACTCTGTCTTTTGCAAGCCCCTCACTTGTCAAATAAATATTTTTGTTCCTCTGAGTTAGTGTCTCCTTCAACATCAAACTGTGTTCATTGTTTACCTTGGTCCGAGCATCTATCTTGGCCCCTCTCTCCAGCAGCAGTCGCACCATGTTGCCGTTTCCACGTTTGGATGCTACGTGCAGCGGTGTGATGTCATTCTGAGGAGAAGAAAGTAGAAGTATTTTGCTATTCATCTGTAGAATCATCGATTTTAAGAGGCTATTTTAAGACAAGAGAAAAATGACACAAATAGTGCGGAACAACCCGTACTCGTCTGTAAGGACACATTGAGTATCACATTAACCTAAAACCCCACAACCTCCAGTCTTTAACCGCTCCTGAATGCTTCCAGGACAATAAAGACAGGACGGCCTAAAACTTCTTAAAAACAGAACGAACTAAAAACTGAAGTACTTCTCATTGGCTCTTCTGTAAGATAAACTTTTCCCACTGTCAGCTAATTAAAGGCAGAAAGGCCCAAAAGTAACTTAAAAGGAAGAAGATAAAAAAAGAAAGTGAAGTTGTCAGAAAGCCTGATCATATCTTTAGTGTTTTAAAACAACTATCACCTGAAAGTAAATGTATTCAGTGGGCGTTTAAGTGTCTCTGTTTGACAGCGCAGGGAGAAAATGATAGAGGGAAAATTGATAAATATCCCCCTCTAGAGGATGTAACCGTCAGGCAACTTCAGCAGAAGAGCTTTCTGTTTAACCAAGTCATTTCTTCCTCGGTTATTCTTTGTCTTTTCCAGCAACAATTTCCTCTATATAATGACAGAGTGGGAGGGGGATATTTCTATGTGGCTGACTAGTAGAGGGTAGTTTAACTGGACACCCTGCACCGTGGAGTATTTGTAAAGATCCACTAACAATGAAAGCTGCTTTGAAAATATGTCTTGAATTTTCTTTTTGGTAAAAGACAAAAAAGCAAAAATATGAATGTCTATAATTAACTTAAAGGCAATAAATATGACAAAAAAAAATCGAACTAAAAGTAATAAGGTCTGCCTGTTGTTAAATACTTTCTGACGTCCCAGCGGGATCTTTCACCCTCAGCCCTGATTCCTTTTTTTTTGTCTCAAACTCTTTAAAAACATGCAAAATATTTATCTATTTTTAAGGCTCTGTCGTTTCCTAAAACTGTTGAAAAGTAGTTTTTTTTTTTAAGATGCTTAAACAGGATGTATTGTTCATTTGTTTTGGGCTGTTTTCATAGAGGAACTAATTTACTCTCTCTCTGTTGAAAGAAGACGGGCACAGTGCATTGAACTGACTTTAAATAAACTGCAGTACAATAACAAAGACATTCTCATCAGCCGTGTAATCAAGATGAATTTTTTTTTTTTTTTGCTGCAGTAACAAAAAGATGCAGAAAAAAGATTGGATTGAAGTTGAGGTGAAGATTGAGTGACAGAAATAATCAAAGTCCCCACTTTCATTCTTATTCTCAAACACCGCCCTGTTTTTTTCCACACCCACAAACCCAGCATCCAATCAGAGAGTCAATAGGGTGTTAAACATAGCAGACAGACAACATGTTTGAGTTTCCTGCAGCAGAGTGACATGCACAGCTGTAGATCGGACATGTGTCAGAATAACATTCCTGCACACACAGACATGCATACGATCCACTACGAGGGTCTTGGAGTGAGAGTTTGCAGCAGCAGCTCTCATTTCAAAAGGTGTGTGTGTGTGTGTGTGTGTGTGTGTGTGTGTGTGTGTGTGTGTGTGTGTGTGTTTCCCTACCCTTGCCTTGAAGTCCACAGCTGCCCCTCTGTTCAGCAGGAGTGTTGCTACGTTGATGTTTCCGTAGTGAGCCGCGATATGCAGAGGAGTGAAGCCGCTCTATAGTGAAAAGACAAATCAAAAAATAAAACAAGAGAGTCCTTTAGAGACGCAGGGAAAGATGCAAAACGTTTTGCGTGATGAGCCGTGAGCAAAGCATGATAGGAACATAACAGAAAAAGAGCAGTGAGCTGAAAAGCAGGCTAACAGAGCGCAGCAGACCAGAGCTGAGCAGAACATGCTTTGAAAATCGACAAAATAAAATCAGTCGTGGATTTTCTGTTTCTAACAAACAGAAAAATAACTCTACTTTTCTTGTGTAACACTTCTTCGGCAAGTTTTGTGCACCACAACCTGACACTGATCAGGTCAGCGAGGAGAGAATCCCAATAGAGTGCTACAGGATCGGTCGAAAAAACCAAGAAATCAGTTAGCATATTTGCACCTTCGGTTCCCTCGCCTCAAAGTCAATGAGATTATTCTTAAAACCCTGAAATTAGGTTAAGTTAAAGAGATTTTTATGTATGTTTAACAACCTATAATTACCCAGCAAGTAGGCAACCTAACATGTAATTTGTATTTGTTTAGCTTGTTAGCTATAGCCTGTCATCAGGGTCACAAAAAAGTGTCTAAATGAGGCTACAGAAGTTGTGCTGTTATAAAACATCCTAACCATAGACTGTACAGAACATGGATGTATATTCAGTGACATCACTCGTTGGTTTCACTCCAGCGATATCGGTTGTTGGAAGTGTTATCTCAAACTAACTTTTGATCAATCAATTGTAAAGCAAAGAGCTGGCGTTAACGCTGGCCTTGAATAATAGCTACAATGCTCACACCTGTCAGTCCAGTAAGCCACTGTAAATATTTATTATTTTGTGTTTTTGGGTGTACAGAGAGAGTGTTTAAGTTGTTTGTTGCTTTCGACGATTAGATTTGAATAAATTGATAGCTAGCAGAGCTGTAAGCTGGCAGCATGACTAAGCATGTTTATGCTAGGTAATTATTGATTGTGCCTTATTTTCTGTTTGTTCTTTGCAATGTGTGCTTTGTTGCAGTTTACAAAAAAATAAAGGAAAAAGAGAACTGTGAATTCTTCAATAGATAACGAGAAAAGTTACAACTTGTCATTTTTTGGAGGTCTTACACTCGTTAGCTAACTGTCTAGCCTTGAAGATCTGCAACTCATTGCAGGGACAGTGAGCTATAACAGAGCTGAGCAATGAGCACTAATCCAAATTGCACTGGCACTCATCCATCAGGCTTTTGTTGAAGGAAGCGATGTGATGCTAACTTAAGGGCTGTGTTACAAAAAGAACTTCCTGCAGCACTCTATATAAGCAAACATACGCACATTTCAGTCCTGTCAAATGAAAACAATGCAATGGTTGATTCTCTTATTCAAAAGTTCAGTGTCGTCTCACAGACATGCAAGTGGCATGCATTTTAGTTTAAAGCTTAGACTTAATACTTAAATCCATATCTTCACATTTACCAGAGCTAAATAAACTGAAAAGCTACATTTAGCACATCTCTTCTGATAAAGTGTGCATTATAATTGCATTAATATTATCTCTTCGGCATGTCAGCCCACTGTAGCCTACTTGTTCATTCCACTTGCAGAAAGGTCAACATGCTATTGAACATGCTTCAAAAATTCAAAAAGCTGTTGTCTTCCAATCTGATGAAAGTGCTGTTCTGAGCACAGTGACAGAAATCAGCATTATCTCTTGAATAGTCAGCAGCAAATAAATAACATCTACTGGCATGCTTCAGCTAGGCTAAGTCCATTACAATCACTTAACCCCTCCAGTTTCCCTCAGTGACAGCTGGATCATTACACAGGGACATTGAATTCATTTAATTAAAGGCATTTGTACATTTCCAGTTTATACAACTTAAAACATGATCTAACATCTGAGATTATTTGCATCTCAATCAATCACTCAACAATTTAAGGAAAAAAGAGAAATGTCAAAAATGTTATTCTTAAGTCTTATTGGATGGAACTACAGAACAGTAGATTGATAAAATAAAGTCATGAGGAAATGGATGGAAGAGCTGTGGGCTGTTAAATACTGCAGCAGAGACGCTACAGTTTATTTAACTACCAGAAAGTCATTATTATCAACAACAGTGAATGTTAAGTTAACCACATTCATTATCTTGTTGCTCCTGCAGCCAGTCTGTAACAGCATGCTAGCATCATTAGCATCATATGTTACATGGTAAATATACCATATTTACTTTGGCTTTGTTCTGTAGCTTTAATATTTCATTTCAGCTAACATAAACACTTTTAACTCGCTGGTTTTGTTAGCAGTGAGGCGTTTAGCTAGGCAGCAGGGCTAACATAAGCAAGCAACGAAGAAAAATATAGTCACCCTGCATGGACCTGGCATTAGCTTAACTAAAACATAAGCGTATTAAACCTTTTCAAACTGCAAGATGGACAATTAAGCATGTCAATTCTGTTTCAAGGAGTCTGAATTAATTATCTAATTTAGCCACGCAAGACAGTGTTTAGCTATTTCAGCTAGCGAGCAATTGTTCCGTTCTGTAGCTATGCAAGCTAACATAAAACCAAACAGGTCCACGGTCTTCCACCTTAAGACTAGTCACAACTGAACAACTTCATCAGAAAATGCTTTTTTATGTTAGGATGTTTTGTGCGAGGGAGACATGTAAAATAGAGTTTGTAGTACCTTCAGTATAACTAGGCCTGCAAAAGAAAGCAATGCTAGCAGATCTAACTGGGGAGATTTTGCATTCTTCTACCTGGTACAGCTTATGTTAGTGTCTTTTTCTGGTGATACCTTTGTTATTCATAATTATGGGTGTCTTGTTGACACCAGAGCATGACAGAAACGCAGACTTGGACTGAACCATTTACAGTAAATGACGACAAAAACCTACAGAGTGAGGGTTAATTGATCTGGCACTGAGAAGCAATGCATGCCAAGCATTTTCTGGCCAAAGCACACACAAAAATATCACTTTGATGATAAAGATTAAGTGTTTCTCGTGATGAAAAACACATCTGAAAAAGTCATAACAGCTCAACAAACTATAATCTAATGTTAAGAGGCTGAAATTCTTCCTTTTATGAACTATATCTTGCAGCAATATGCAGGTCAAATATGTGATGCAGGCTTTCAAACCAAGCACACACAGGTGAGGTGCTGTCAGCAGCAAAAGCATTCATGCCAGCATATTTAGCGTTCATGCTAGCAGACAGAAAGCTTTGGCTGTGCGATGACGACCGTGAGTGAACGATGGAGAGGAGGAGGAGAGGAGGAAGAGCAGAGGAAGACAAGACAAGATGTACCTCTGTTGTTCTATTCACCATCATCTAGAAAGGGAAAAGGAAAACAGGGCAGCGGTAGGGTAAGGACAGGAACAAATAGAGGGAGGAGGAGGAGGAGGAGGAGGAGGAGGAGAGAATGGGGTGGTTAGTGCACCACAACTACAACAGCAACACCAACACCATGGCTGCACGAAGCTGTAGGATGGGATCATGAAACAATGAAAAGAACTACAACACATAAGTACACACAACCACATGATGGACGGACACTCTGCCTTAATGTATGTTGTTTGTTCTACACTGATTCCTCATGTAAAAGAGGAAAGACAAGAAATTCTATGCTTGCCCTCAGTGACAGATTTGTTGCATCTTACCACAAAGAAAATAATGTCTTTCTTAAAAGGAACCAACAATAAGTGCAAAGAAGTTCACAATAAAGACACACAGCTCTAGAACAGTTTGTTTCTTTAATTAATTGAGGAAGCAACCTCAGGTTTTTTCATTTTTTACTGTACAAACGATTAGAGGCACTCTATATTTCTTTTTCTTGGCACAAAGTTTTTCTGGGGAAAAAAAAGCCATTGAATAAATAAAAGTAAGGAAAAAGTTCACCTTAAGTCGAAACAGAATCGTGTTTGACTGCTCACCTTAATGGAGACATTAAGTTTCACACAACTTAAAAAAGCTAAAAACTAAAAAAGCCAGACATTGTTTGTACGGAAGCCCTGAGCTGACATGCATCCGTACATAATATTTAACTGTGTAGTGAATAAAATGTCTTTCAGCTCTCCACGTGTCCTGTGCATGTTTAGGCACATCTATTTGCAAATATTCCGCGGAAACATGGCTTCTCCTACGCCCTCCTGTTAGCTGCAGCATTATCTGGATGTAACGCTCAGTCCTAGCCCCCCTCGGAAATCTTTTTTGCCAGTGTGAGATCACTGATCTAAGCCCATTGGCTCGTTGTGGCAAGCCCAGCAGCTCATGTTGCACGCCCGTTAACTTCTGTAGCACGCCCACGATATGCCGTAGCCTGCTAATGTTTTTGCTCCCCGGCCCTCGAAGCCAGAGCGACTGACCAATCACGACAGAGCCGACAGGCCGACCAATCAGATCAGACTTGGCACACGTGGGGACTCTGAACGTGGGCACTTCAGAGCCTTAGAGAGAGAGTCAGAAGCGAGCCGGTGCATGGAGCGGCAGTTCATGAAAACAGACACTTTTTTCAAACTTTGGCTATTGTGAACATACTTTAGTACATAGATTAAATATACGAACCCCAAAAAGGGCAGAATATGGGCTCTTTAAATCGTACAGTGTGCTGTCGTCACAGAATTAATAAGCTACAGAAAAACTCTAAGCTATCAAACACAATGTGTGTGTACTACTTTGTGACATTTCTTATATTCTTTTGCATGGGGCTAAAAGTTAATCCATCACACTTCTGAAATTGTATAAATGTAATTCGCACATTTAATCATATATGTTTTATGCATTTAAGTAGTGTAATTTTTCTTTGCTTTTCCATACTTTGTTATGAAAATTTTGGAAAAATGTCCTGACCAAAAAGGGTTTTGTCATTCTTAATGCTAATGAGGCTATTGCTAAAGAGGCCACTTCTCTTTCCGCTGTGTAATCCCCGTGGTTAGCATATCTTGAAGGTACATATGGTGACTTTATATTGTTTGAAAGAGGATGAAATTTGGGGGGAAAAAGCTTCTCCATTGTCCCTTTTCTATGCCAATCATGACGCTACTATCCAGCAGCGGGCTAACTTACCGGAAACAGCCATCACAGCACCGGCCAAAAGTAACACAATTTATGTACCAGCAGTTCTAAAGCTAATTATTATGATGTTGAACTTTAATTTGTTTGATTATCATTTATGTCCCCTGAATCTCAAGGTAAAGGAAACAGACCTGTAGCACACAGGTAACTAGCGAACACCTGTTTTAATGAAACAATCAGAAGTAAAGCCCATATTTCACATTGGGGTCTCATTGGACTCAAAATATGCGTCATAATGTCAAAAGGGGGGCATAATAATCTTCATCTTCGTAGGTCATTATGGGATTTGTATTTTACCTTTGACTCCACGTCTGCATTGTGGTCGCTTTGGAGGAGCAGCGCTGCGGCCTTGGTGTCGTCTTTTCGTGCGGCGATGTGCAGCGCAGGCAGCCGGACCTTCCCCTTTGTGTCGTTTTCCAGCAGGAGAGAAACCACCTGCTCGTGACCCTGCTGCAACGCCACAGCCAGAGGAGTGAATCCATCCTGTCAACCAGAAGAACCAGAGCGGTTAAAACAAGGAAGTGGTATAGTGAGTCGATGGATGCTAGTAGCTGCTAGATTCAAAAAGATGCCAACAGCTTAACCAATAAAAAAAAAAACACACATACACACACACATACACAGATGGTACACCTGAGTTTGCTCAGGTGAACTTCTGACTCACTGAAGATAAAAGATGTTCTCATACAGTCTCTCTTTTTTCAGGCTCCTTGTTCTTCAAAGCAGAGTGAAACCAAATCAAACTCGTCTTTGAAGTGTCTGACTGCTGCAACAACTCCCTTCTGTTTAATCTTACATCATACAAATCACACAGCAGAATGTTAAACATGAGACACACACACACACACACACACACACACACACACACTTGGTTAGCAGCTCTGTGTCTCCTGAGGACAGTTAGTATTCCTGTCTCATCTGAAGGACCGCGCTATGTCTTTGAATGCTCACAGAATAAAAAGCACTTTAATAATCAATATCACACATCAATACAAGAGAGAACCTGATTTACGCTGGTGTCTTTTCCTTAAGGTTTTATACTTATTTAGACAAAGAGGAAAACTACGGCCATCAGTCTTTAACCTCTTTAATAGACGAGGAATGCTCGTCTGAAGAAATCATGACTGACATGGAAAACTTTATGACTGAATCTTAAATCTTTGCGTATTTTATGAAGTGTCTCAGAAGCTTCCCCAGAAATGATTCACGAGATAAGTGTCAAGTGTTGCATGTCTAAAAGGAGCTTAAGAAGCACAGGGCAGCCATATCAGCCGTTTTGGCAATTTAAGCATTTTAGCTAATGCTATTAAGACGGTGAAGAGTGTGACTGAGTTCAGCATCTCGCTCGAGGACAAATAGAAAGCAAATTCTGCAGCTGCTCCTGGAAAATAATGAAGAAAGAAAAGGGGTTGAAACTCTGGCAGTAATATCCATGAATCATCTCAGAAAAAAAAGATTTCTCCAAAGGAAAACAACATTGAGCTAATGCATGCGTGTGCGTACATTAGGCGTGTGTGTGTGTTTACTCAGGACACCGACCGTCTGGATGAAAAAACGACTCGGCATCACTGCACAAACACACATCAAAGCACAACCTCCCCCCGGAGATCCTGCAGAGCTCACACACAGAACAGAGCAGGCGAGATGCAAACCAACACGTCCATACGCTAATAAACACACACACACACACACACACACACACAGACACACACACACAGACACACACTGACACACACTGACACATTCATGATCAGATCCTAGCGCAGCATCTCTGGAATAACCACACATATATCCACTCCCACAGGCAGACAAACATGTTCAAACGCATAAATTTTGCCTCTTTTTTTTAAAGATTTCAGAAGTCATCCCATGGCGCTCCCCTCCTGCTTCATCTGCTTTATTATACATTCAGTGGAAAGACACAAAGTCAGATTAATGTCCTCAAACACTTCGACGACACAACAACAGCAGCAGCAGGAAACAAAAGGCACAAAAAAAGCACTTTTGATATTTTATGTTTAAGCAATGACGCAGCATAATTTAGCCTCACAAAAAAGGGGCCAATATCTTAGAAAGAAAAACACAAATTCAAACAATACAAAGCTAAACGCTGTGTATCGCTTACATGAGACAAGTGTTTCAGTTGTAAAGGGGTGACACACATGCCCCAGCTTTAAAATGATAACTGATTATAACACTAGATTTAAGTCATGAAGACTATAGTAAGAGTATTTTGCTCTATTAAAAGTTCAAAACGGGATTTAAAGGAGCAATATGTACCTCTGACACCTAGTGTTTACAATGGGTACTGCAGTCCGAATTGAAAACATCAAAGAGAGCTGCCCCCCCTCCCGCCACCCTCCTCTCTTTAGTCACTGTGCAGGCAGGTTGCCATGTGGTGGACTCTGAAGCTTCAGTGTTTATCCAGCTCTGCATGGGTCTGTAAACCTTTCTGTGTTCTAACCTCTCTCCATTTTTCAAAAGCATCTCCAATATTGATCCTAGTTGAGCGCGTTTCTGCTCGTGGAGCTTATTAGAAACATGCAGAGGCTTTTTAGGTCGGGTACAATCACTTCTATCTGAACCACTTCTCTTGCCGGCTTCCATCGCTGCAACACCTGTATGCCTGACAAACCGCCTACCTTCTCTGGTCAAAACAAAAACAGAGCATTCAGGAGCAGAATCTAAAGTTAGAAGGAGGACATACTGGCTGCTGCATTGTTGTCAGAGAAGCCAGCACTTCAACATAGCATGTTTCCTTAATGTCTGATCATATAGTACGGTCACTTTATCATTTAATTCAGTAGATATCTTACATATCGGTCCTTTAATACTATAAAATAATCATAGATGCAATTAAAAGAGATGAAGTGCAGACAAAAGATTTTTCTGAAAAGGAATGTTCTGACATACTCTGCCTCATGCCAAAATGCCTAAATATGAATTATTAAACAACGGGGATTGCTTCAAACATGGATATATATTTCCCTACATGAATAATTCACTCTGTCTCCGACTGTGGGGAGGAAGAGGGGAGGAGAAGGGGGGAGATGTGGTGGGAAAAGTGGGGTACAGGGAGGAGACAAAAGGGAAGAGGGGTAGAAGGAGAGATGAAAAAGATGATAGGAAAGATGAAAAGGACGGAGGTGGACGGTGAAGATTGTGAACTGTATTTTAACACGTTTGACAATATTCAGACAACTGGCAGGTGCGTCATCACTGGCAACTTATAATCCATATCTTCCTTCATAGTTGACGACTTTCTGCACCTGGTAGAGCTGCTAAACATGACACAACGAATGACATAACGATACAGCCGAACGTTGCGTAACAATCTGTAATGGCTTCTTGCTCTGTCACTTTTCCTTTTTCTCTTCCTCGACTGCTTCATTCGTTACCATCCTCTTCGCTTCAGTTTAGATCTTACTAGCTACTCTGCCTTTTTAAAGTTGCTGTACTTTTAGATCGATTCTTGAACTATCCCAAACATTTTTAAAACATATGAAGCTGCTGAAACATTGAACTCACTGTCTTCAAAGGCTTTATTTGTGATTTTCCACACTTAAATATAATAGAAATCAAGTATATCCTCTGAAAATAACTCTGTGAGTCATGACTGTCTACAATGGGTGTAACACCCGAGTCCCACTGTCTGTGATGCTTTCAGAGTTTTCGGAGTCCTATCTTCAGTTTGTTTACATCGCCGGGACGGCCAGCTGACTCCTCCCCTCACGTATAAAAGTTGTTTAATTGAGGGACTAGAGAAAAGAAGAATAACATACTGTACTCACTGCTTAACTGTGTTTCTAGATCACGCTCATTTCAGGTAAATTTACATGCAGTGTGAAGATACCAGCATAATAAAGATCGCTAGCATTAGCATGCTAACACAACAATGCAGCACGAGTGGTTTTGGTTTCATGCCGGTGCTCAAGGGCGACATCTGCTGGATCAAAAAATCACATATAAAGCCTTTAACAAGTTCTCTAACTTACTATTGCACCATAATTCACTCTGGCACTAACAGGTGATGTGTCCTCTTGTCCAGCATCAAGTAAGAAGCTAGTTTGGATTATATATTTCCAGCTGCTGTAACACTAGAGGCACTAACAGCACCACCAGTCTCTATACATGATCTCCAAGTCGGAGAAGGTTTTGGCCTCAGTGCAGGTTGTGTTTGTCACACTTTAGTGGCTGTTGGCGGTCTGCCTGTACTACAGCAGATGATGGATCGCAGTGACACACTCGCAGCGTAGCACTCTCTCACACCACAGACGACAGGCTTCAGAAACGTCCCCGAGGGCAGTCAAGGTCACTATCAGTGAATAAATTGTCGCCTCTTCATCTCTTGACTTTCTTCACCATTCAGTCAACAGATTCGTCTTTTAAATCAACATATTTGGTTGTTTTTTGACCCCTAACAGGATATTTGACTCCTTTTGTTTTTGAGCTTTTGTCCTCTAATGAGCCAGTGGTAGCAGCCAGCTATTAACCACAATCTACTGCTGACAGCTCTGCGTTGTACTTACAGGCATTAAGTGTAAACGCAGCGTACATTTATTGCAGCGTGTCTGTGTTTGTTGTTTTACCTCTGTGGCGATGCTCTGACTTGAGCCATGGTCCAACAAGAACTGAACCACGTCCATGTGGTTCTCCTGCGCCGCCATGTACAGAGGAGTGAAGCCATTCTGGAAAAGACAAAAAAAGAAAACAATGACTGTGACATGAAATCAACATCATGATGAGCACTATAATTCACTGTTTAATTCAAGGAATTTAAACATTAGCTGTAACTAATAACTCTTCTAGAGAAAGAAGGAAAGAGGAAGATTTCTGTCAGCTAGAAACAAAGACTTAGCTTCTAACAATGATTTCTGCATCTCATTATCACAGTTTTCTTGGTCTTTTATTTATATATTGTTGATTTTATGGCTACTTCCCATATTCCTATTTTGCTTTCTTTTTTCCATGTTCTGTGTGTACAGTAAAAGCTGTATGCTTGTTTGTATTTTATACATTTTATTATTGTGTATTCTTCAATGTTTTGATCGTTTTATCGTCTACTTTTTTTAAAAATTCAAAAGTCAGAATTTGTGCAAATATGTGCCACATTAAAAAGACGTCAAGCGCACACTCGAGTTGAAGACAGTTTTCTTCCCAGGAGTTACCAAAGTTATAAACAAATTATGCACTTTTTGGTCTTTAAAAATAGAGAAACACAAATAGTTTGACTTTGAATTACAGTGAGATAGTTTGATGATCTTTCCCATTGATATCTCTGCTTAAACAAGGTCATGACTGGCCGTGTTAAAATAAAAATCATTGAGCGGATCTACGTTACAGCAGAATTGGATTTACAGGATTTTTGCATTGATGTGACTTTTTTTCACTCTTTCATTTGCTGTGTCTTGCAAAAACAAACATCAGGCTATCAGGTTTTTTAATCTAAAAATGTTGTGTTAATTGAGTTTGTAAGAAAAATCTGCCTCGTCATGATTTATTGATGGTGATGATTAAAAATCCTCACTGTAGAACATTTCATGTGTATCTGGTAAGATGTCCACTGTAAAGCTTTTTGAGCTCTACAGCTGCACATGGATTGACGTGCAAAGTTCATGGAGCACATACTGTCACCTCCATACATGCCTCACACCTGATAACACAAAGATACAAGCTGGAGCTGTAGGATTGTGTGTGTTAGTTTCCATGTCTTTGTGTGACACCAGAACAAAGCAAAGAAAAAAACAGATCTGCAGAGAAAATCAAGGATTGACAAATCACTTCAGCACACAAACAAAAAGCTCCCCCTTCCCTTTCTCTCTCCTCTTCTTTGTATGAACTCAGGTGCACCAAAACCTTTTAGTTCTCTCTGTTACACAACATTTCATTTAGACTTCACATTCAAAGAGCTGAAGAAGTGAAGGACGCAGGTGAAATAAAACTCACTTTAAAGAAGCGAAAGCACGACTCTGAGCAGCAGGACTAAAATGCTGCATTGCAGAATCAGCAAAGGTGTTATTGTGAGTGTTCAAGGAATACTTTAACATTTCCTTTCATGTCAAGAGAAGAGAGAAACCTCACTTATAGAGCCAGTATGAAGTCAATCGTTACACCACCGGGCCCAAGGTAACAGCTCATCAATACAACATTATTCTGATTTTCCTCTCTAAAAAGCTCCAACCGAGGCTTTGATGTTGACATTATCATCATGGCTGTGGTGACTACAGCAGTGTGATAGTGTGTCTGTGTGTGTGTGTGTGTGTGTGTGTGTGTGTGAATGTGGGCCAGGAAACACTGCAGAGCCGCTGACACAGCACACACACCCCGAAAAAAAAAAAAAGGATACTGTGTGTACAATAGCTGTGTCCACATTCATCTGCATGAACGCACAAACTCAAACCTGGATTTCCAGCAAAGATGATTTCACAGTTTGAGAGCTTTGTGTTTGCGTGTGTGTTTTTTGTGCGTGTGTGTGTGTTTTACCTGAGACTGTGCGTTGACGTTGGCTCCATGTGTGACCAGCTCCTTCACCACGTCTGTCTGCCCGGCAAGAGAAGCTATGTGGAGGGCTGTGTTTCCTTTCTGTTGTGGACGACACAAAAAGAGAAAATAAAAACATTTAAAACTTCCAGAAAATAATCTTTATTGTATTTCCAACTGAACCAGGACTTTAATTGTAACACACTTTTACTTGTCTTTAAGAGTCTGTCAATGTGGACAGCGGGAAGGGAGAGAACTGGGGCAAAGGTTATTATTATCATTCATCTGTCATAGTTCCTTAAAAATGACTCCTTTCCCTTATAATAAAGGAAAATACAAGATCCTTTATTATTCATGTTTCGCCTATAAGAGGTTGTCTAGCTTCATTGAGAATGATTACTGTAAATAACACTTAGATGACACATTATTACACATAATTAACACAGATTGCTTTAGATGTACAGCTTCCTTAATTTCCCATATTAATAATCCCTATACTCTTCTTCAGCATGCATGTTGTCAGTCTGTGAAACCTACAGTATAGAGGAGCTCTACATTTATTTATTTATTTATTTTATTTGTAAATTTATTTCATTCAAACAAACAATAAAGTTAAGAAAAACAAACAAACATAAAATCTCAAATTTTGAATGAAAAGGAGCAGAAAAAAGACTAATCTAATATCTGCCCCTCTTTCACAAAGCATTAATTAAAACAAAACAAAACACTTAATTCAAAAACAGTTAAAAACAGTTAATGCATGATTTGGAACAAAAAAAAAAACTCCTTATCTATCTCAAACTTAAAAATCCTAACTTCAGCCTCTGCTTGAAACGGTTTATTTCAGCTGCTGTCGCCTTAAGGCCCTCTTTCCTCTGATTGGCCAGCTCTCTGGAAGCTATCCAGGGGGGGCAGAATGCTGCAGGGCTGTCAGGGGTGGGCTGCTCTCCAGTGCTGGGAGAAGAGAGTCTAGTGAAGAGTTTTCAGCGGCCTACATAGAGGCTTGAAGACGTCTCGTGGAATTCTTGGTTTTCATATCGGGAGACTATCGCATGTAATGCAGAAAAAGCTGTTTAACGACATTAAGCAGACTCATCCTGGGATTACTCCAACATGTGTTTACCTCATGATCTGAAACCTTGCCCTGGTTTAGTGTGGGCATCCAGCATTGTAACACTATACGTGAGTTTTAAAATGGGGATCAGCAGAATAGGTCAACTTTAAAGCAAAAAAAGAGAGTTTCTCATAGGAAGATGAAGCAGTGGGGGAAAAATTTTAATTGAGGAAAATCTGAATGGAGGTAGCAAAGTGAGGTAGTGTTGGTATGAGAATAAATTGCATGTTAAATCTCTAATGGATGCACCTGTTGTCTGTGTGTCAGCTACAGATTAACAGCAGCTGTTACCATTATGTCATTCATGCTGCTGCATATACATTTCCCCCCTCCCTTCCTGAAAGTGAATTCATGCTGTAACTCCAAGAGGCAACCTCCACTGTTGAAAAATGAAGCCGATGTACAACTCTTTGCCTTTAACACATCCAGGAGACAGGAAATAATATTAGCATCAATTAAGTAGCCTGTCTGAGAACTTCATGCCCAATGCTCAATGTACATGTTCTTTTTTTACTGTAGCTTGAATTTTGTTATCCAAAAACTTTTCTGCTAAGGAGAATATCTGTATCAGGTCAACATATTCTACCTTAGCTTCTTTGTAGGGTGTCAGATATTAAGCTAATGCTCGCTAGGCCGTTACAGCCGATTGTTAACATGATGTTAGCTAATAACTTCAGCTGGAGACCAAAATAACATTAGCATTTATTATGAGTTACGATAAGGACGCTGATCAATCAGACAGGTAAACATTAAGTGTCCAAGAATGCTAAAAATTCACCTTCCTTTAGAAGTGTAGCTAAATCAGCAGCTAAATGTGATAAGCTAACATCTCTACCCTCTGTTTAATGCGCTTGATGCTACAAGCTGCACATTTCTTAACCTTTAAAGATATACTTTGAGAGTTTTGTGAAAATCTATTTATTAAAATCATGTTTGGCCCAAGTCAACAAATATGATGTATTCACTCCACTTCTATTTTTAGCTTTTATCAACCCCACTTTCTTCAACTTTATTCCTGACCAGCTAGCTAAACAACAATTGCACCTATCAGTTGCTGCCTACTGATTAATGTATGATTGAGCATGCAGGGCTAGCAAGCAATGCAACCACAATCTCCCTGAACATAATGACTTTTCCTCTTGACGCATACATTAACTGTGTTAGAATTAAATCACTACCGAGTGTCACTGTCTCATAATTTAGATGCAGTAGCTGTAGAGACACATTTATGTTAGAAACACTGTCATGCACACGATTAGACAGACTATCGCTTTTTACTAAATCACCTCAGTTGACACAAAACCATTTATCTCCTTTAGTGCTGCTTAAGCAATGTGACTTTGGGAAGAAGCTGAGCAAGCAAACAGCAGTTTGTGTGTTGGTGTGTGTGGATTCATGCATACATTATGAGCCTTTCTGTGTACGTGTGTGTGTGTGTGGACGTGAATCCTGGGTAATACACACCTTGGTAGCTGCATCCACATTGGCACCATGCTTGATGAGCTCAGCCACCACTTCTACATGGCCTTCCTTCGAGGCCAGATGAAGCGCGTTCAGGCCATTCTGAAGGGACACATTTTAAAATCCAGACAAGGAGAAAGTTCACGCCATAGAGTAAATAACACGGATCGACTTCAGGTGGAAAATCAGTGAGGTTAATTATCTGACGACCATTAATGTCTGAACAGAATTGGATGTTGTACAATCACAGAGGTGTTTAAATATGTCAGTCTGGACCACATTGTTGGACAAACCAATTATGTCTTCCATAGAGGTTCAACACCAGCATGGCGTCACCGTTTCATGCTTTTGTTCCCCATTAAATTGGTACCTAATTGTCTCAGGTCAATAACATAATTCAGCCTTTGACTGAGTGAGGGAGTTGATTTAGTCAGTGAAGTTTTGCTGCCGAAGTTTGAGAAATATTACTGATCACTTGTACCAAACTATTTACTTGGGGAGAATATTATTTTACAATCTGTAGTGGAGGTTCACTGTTGTTTTACCTGATTGCAAATATTAATGTCGACTCCATTCTTCAGGTAGTCCAAGGCTTTCTCTAGGTTCCCGGCACGAGCTGATCGCAGGTAACAAGCGTTTACATCCGTCTGCAGGAGGACACACAGAGAGAAGAAGAACAGGTTGGTTTCTCATCTTAAATTTCACTTTGAAGCATTTATGAAAGGGTGATACAATTCAGGAAAATCAGGAAAATGCACTTTGTAACCCAAGTGGAGCAGGCAAAAGACGGAGAGGATGGAGTAATCTCATAATTGGAGGGTTTGTGGACAGGCTAGGGACACATGTTAGTGTTAGAGACACATGGTGAAGTGTATTTTGCAGAATATGTGACCTTTAAATAACAACAAAAAGGGAGCTAGGTCCCATCGTAGACATAAAAAAAGTCACATAGAGCCGACTCTTTCCTGACTGACACATCACTATTACTCGAGGCTATTTATTATATTTATAAAACATAAAATAAATATTGCAGAATTAATCAGAATTGACTGAGAGTCATAGAATCACCATGAATCCCTGCAATCACAGATAAGATGAATAAATCCTTTCAGGCTGAAGAAGCAGGGTATCGTTTCTGTTCACACTTTGAATAAGAGCCAAAAGAAGAAACGAGTTTAGGTTCAATGGTGAAACAAAGTAAGATTACTCCGTCTCCTGAAACACACCAGCTTAGCTACACATCACATCTCCGTGCCAAGAATAAACAGTCTGCCAAATCCAACCTACAACCGAGGGATTTACTTTATCTGTGTGATAAGAAGTCCAGCTCTGTACCAACATGTGTCCTTTACATAACACATGTACACATTTGCATTAAACTACATGCTGCAATGCATCAGAAAATGTAGAGGAAGTATCATCAGTGTAAATCGATTGAAATTTGAAGATAAACTAAAAGTTATAAATGTTCTGCAAACCCTTGGTGTACTGTGACTGCACTACAATGGATTAATGCATGTCATATTTCTTTGTCAGAGCCTATAAGTTATATTTTATAAAATACTATTGACTAATGTAAATCTTTATAACAGTGCTTTTGTCTTGTATAGCCCTCTTGATGTCGTGTTCAAGTGCCTAAGTAGGAGAATAATAACGAGAACTCAAGATAAAGAGTAAATTTAATACTTAAAAAATGATATATCTATTTATACAGACATTTTAATCTCAAGTATTTATCTTGTTTTTTATTCGGAGACATGGCGAAGACAGGCAGCAGCACAGACACAAAGTTACAGACGGAGACACAAAGGGAGCTAAAGTACAATTTTACAAAACGCCAACATATGCATTATCTATGAGTCAAATCTGTGAGTCTGTAGTTCAAGTAGTAAAGCTACAGACAGATTCCAGGCTGAGGGTGGAGAATACAAACAGCCCTTTGCCCAGTTTCTGTTTGTGCGTTTGGGACAGAGAGCATAAAGAGATCCTGAGACTGCAAATAATACACTCCAGTACTTTTCTATGTTATAAAAACACATATAATATGGTGTGGGAGCAGACCAAGAATAGACTTATACAGTATATAAATGTTTACGAGTGTGTATGTTTGAGCCTACAGGTCGCAACAGCAGGCCATCCTACCTGAGAGTACAACTCACAACAGTGAGTCAGAGCGCTTTACAGTTTGTTATGAACCTCTAGGACTCATGGTAGGCTGTATCAACCATATGGAGACACGAGCAGAGGCGTGCATGAACAAAAGTACAAAAGATCACCATAGTCTAAAACAGGTAAAACAAAAGTTACAGCAACAAGGTGTTTTTTTTAACATTAAAAGAAAAACGCAACTTGTTTCTAAAATAAAAACCCAGTTTGAGCCTCAGCTTTTTTTACCAGACACAGAACATGTGGTCTGAAATTAAAGGAGTCATCGATCGAAATACCCAGGCCAGATATTTGTAAGACTTTTTGTGACCCCTCTGCCTTCAAAATCATCTGCAGATGAACGACC